TTTCCCCCCATAAGACACCTTCATATCATTAAAACACTCATGTTCTTCTATGGTCAACATTTTATGGCTGAAGAACATCTTTTCCAAAAGATGAAGAAGTTTACCTCATAGTAATAAAGATGTGCAGCTCAATCCTCCAGCTCTTAAGCTGAATTCTACAAAGGCTGATGGGAGTTTTGCCTGAATAAGTCTGATGCTTTCTCACTGCCATGTCTAAAGTCTCAAAACAAAAACCAAAAAAAACCTCAAAACAACCCAAAACAACCCCCCAGACCAGACAGCACTTCCATTTTGGTACCGACTGACCTGATGTCGAGGACGTCCAACGATGGATGGAAATACAGCTCTTGGGGCATCATCTCCTGCAAACCCAGCTTTGCAAAGCCCAGAACCATTGTCACATACAAGGGCAGTGGCTTCATCGTCATCGCACATAGTGCCTCACAATTTTGGCTGCAAAACAGTAATTTGGAGAGGGGGGAGCAGATGGAAGGGAATAGGACAGAAGCAACTCCATCATTTAAAGAGCAAACTGCTGTAAAAAGAATAGTTTTGGAGAAGAATAAACCTAACCAGCAAAGTTTATGCTAAAGCTCCAATCTTGCAAAGCATGTTAAGTATTCACATACATTTCAGCTTGAATAGGTTTTACCAAAGCAAATTAATCAGGACACTCAGCCTTTGTTTCCAAAAGGGAAATCTCGTCTACTGTAGCCTCAAGGGCTCCCGTGATATTCTTTTAATTGGCCTCGTGACCGTGGGACAAGTTCAGCTAGAGGATACACATTCAGCTCTACTTGGACTTAGGCAAGCCTAACCCCATCTCTTCCAAGGCTGAACTACCTTCTAGAAATTTCGTTTGTTAAACATGAACTCATCACATGCACCTGCCAGTTCTAATGTTAGCAGTTAGATGGTAAATAAGAATCACCGAACATTTCTTACTTCAAAGACGGCACTTGTTCCCTAGCGGCATGTTTCAATTTGCCTTTTTCTTAGAGGGTCATCATCAATCTTAAATGGACAACTAAAAAGAACCCCAACCAAAAGTTTCAGGAAAGTGTTTGCAGTGTGTTTTTAAATGACAGCTACTCTGTAAGGTGAAGTGCTCACTACAGGACCTATTCCGTATTTGTAAGTGGCAAATACCTTATCGAAGTGGTTATTCTGGGAAACAACAAGAGGCAGCTGGCACAACCGCCCAGGAACAACTCAACTTCAGCAGTTGGCCAACATGTCAAAGTCCTGAACTCATTGAAATTCATGGCAAAACTCCCACCAAGGCGGCGGGGGGCGGGAGGGGGGAGCCAAATTTCGTCGAGACTTCTGTTTTGAATTCCTTGGCTATTTTAGGACTGCACGATTGCTTCTTTAGGCAGTCGAGAAGAGGGAAGGATTTTATTTTTCCTTCTCCAGCAACTTCACTCGGTAAGAAAGGGTACTTCAGAAATGGGAAAGGAATGAAAAACAGCACTTGTCCAGCAAAGCTCTTGCCCCTAACAATGCAAAGAATGTATTAAGCATCATTTTTGCGATTAACGCTCAAAGGTATTCAACTTCTGATGGTATTACAGTCCCACTTAAGCCCTATATGCACAGGCAGGTCAGGAGCAGTGGGAGAACAGCCACCAGCATTAGGGTCTGCCCTGCAACCAATTGATGCTCTCCTGTCTGTGGGGTTTAAAATATCCCAGGCTCTTCAGAGGGGCCCTGCAAGAACAGCAAAGTCCCTGGAGATTTACCAACAGGAATAGTTTTGGTTTTTAAAGCTGCATGAAGTTCCTGGTGGTCAACCCTTTCCTCTAGGCTTTAGGAAGCAAGACTGCAACATGACTGATCCCAACGCTCGCATATTTGAAAATAGGACATTATTTTAAATAAGAAAAATCATTTTAATTCTTGTTGATGTGCCCGTGACTGGAAGATTCTTTTTCACGTAACGAAGCAGAATAATTTTACCATATAAATTTGTTAGCAGCTTTCATCTAGGAATGTTTAAGCATTAGTTCTAGTAGCTGGTATTTTGGAACATTTGTTCACATTGCCATGAAAATTGTTATTTTCTTCTACAGCCCCCAGGAAAAGGCTTTTAGAATGCAATAAACCAACCATTTACCAGCAGTATCCAACATTACAGAACTGCACTCAGAGTCTGACTCCATCATTGTAAACCAGAAGGAAACTCAGTTCTTAAATACATCAGAAATTACATCAGATGAGATCCTAGAATTCAACAGTAGAGAATTTTAAAGTCGAGAAATGCTACAAAGCTCTGAGAGCTCAGCATTGCTCTTTGCCTCTGAAGAAGGCTGGATAGGACCAAGATGTTTAATCCCCTGTAGGGAGAAATAATATTCCCATGCATTCATATACACAGCATTTTCTATATAGCTCTACAGGTAAGACTAAGGTCAGTACAGCCATACCCAGAGAAACAAAATTCAGAGGGAAACCCCAGCTGATCCGTACAAGTTACACTTTGAGGTGCTGGCAGCAATTGTTTACACTTTTACTCACTACCGATCAGATTCTAGAAAAGCCACTGGCACTTACTAATAAAATCAAATCGCTGAATTTGTTCACTTCTCCTCTTTTTTTTAATTAATTACCTTGCTTTATCACTACTTCATTACAAGGTGAAAGAACTGATAAAGAACATTACTTAAAATTTTCATTAATTGAGTCAGTTATTGCTTTACAGCTGCTGAATTTATAGGTTTAACAATCATTTTCACAAAGCTGCTACTCAGAAATCTTTTCATCAGATGAAGTTCCTAAATAAATTTCCTAAATTTGCCAAATTTTTAGTTTCAGTTTTTATTTTTCTAATTCCCAGTGCAAAATTAAATACAATTAACAGATAACTTCCCTTTCAGTTTCTGCATAAGGCCTGATGTCCAGAGAGCAAACACTACTGAAGCGTTCTTCCAGGTTTCAGATAGACTATGAAGGTTTCATGGCACTCTACCGATCCTTCCAGCGATGAGGAACATCTGCATGTTTCCCTGCAACCACGCAGTCAAATCCAAATTCCCTTACACCAGGAGACCCTCTGGAATTCCTTCAAAGCCCGAGACAAACAGGATCCAGGTCCAGGAAGAAGTGTGTAAATCCCCAAATGATCTCAGACCAAGTGAAGCAAAGCATTAAAATCATGAACTGTAACACGAAAAAACTCTCAGGGCAATACTTACCCAGGAAACGGTGATGATTTGTAAAAGCCTCTTCGTAAATGAAATGATCTCACCTTCTGTTACATTTATATCAGCTTCTGGAATGGAGTTCACAGAATACCTACACGTGTCAAGCCATTTTTGGAAACTTTTTTTTCAGTTTGTGCTTATCAGAGTGAGAGCACAAAGGCCTGGATAAATTAGGGCATAATTTCTAACATCTCTGGACCCTTTCCCACTTGCTAACTTGCTATGCCTCATGACAGAGGGTTGTTTTCTCCCCTCAAAACAAAATTCCCTCACATTAGATGAGTAAGACTGGGAGGATTTGTAGGTCCACTGCTGTCATTGGAAAGCGTTCTGCTTCATTATAACACAATTAGCTAAGAATAGCTCATTATCATTCTGTTAACACCCATCTTCAAGCTGGAAAGGGAAAAGTCTTACCATGTCCAGTGCTCATGTCTCAACTGTACCTGGTGTTTGTGTGGCACAAAGACTGAAAATAGCTGACTTATCTCAGTACTTGGGTGACGCTATGGCTGAAAACAGGGACTGAATCAGCAACCAGCCATTCAAAAGATGAGCCATTACCATTTTACAAGAAAAAGACATCAATTATATTGGAATAGATTGGATTTATATAGAAATTCAGACCTTTACTAGACTAACAAATAATAAAGAACCATCCAAAGAAGAATGTTTACAGGATTTACCTACAGTGGTAACTACAGCTGGCAGTATTTCCTACTCCGCATGACAAAAACAAGTGATTCAGAACATCAGGTACAATTTGCTAAATGTTAACTCTGCAACGTAAATGTCAACCTATCCCTCTTTCTCACCTGTCTCGTGACTGCACAGCAGACCTCACGTACAAGAATCCTTGGACCTCAAGTAGATAATTCACTTCACTATCATCTCTTCAAAGTCAACCTTCTATCTGCCCATCAATAAAACTGATGCAATCCTTCCATTTCCATACTCATTCCATTTTTCTTTTCCCACAAGATTTTAAGGATTTTAGTCCAGCAAACAGGAACTCAAACGGCTACTCCATTTTTGTGATATTACGTGTATTCCTTTAGACTCCGCTTGTTTCAATTGTATCTCCATTTTATACAGAGGTGAGTGGAAACGCAGAAAAACAAAGACTGACAAACAACAATACAGGGTGTAAAAATAAACTTCCAGCTTCCAGTGGCCACAGTCTTCACAAATAAGCCATTTTTTTGAATCTGAGAAACAGTTGTGCAGTTTCAGAGAACACTGTAACAAAACATGGATGTATTGATATGGAATGCACAACACTATTACGTGTCTCCAGAAACTGAATGTAAATCCTGCTTTTTATAGCCTCCTAGTTGAAAACGTACCCTTTATTCATTTGTACCTTGAAGTCCAAACACGTAAAATATGAGAGGTTGTGTCCTTATAAGCTTGAGTTTCATGTGTTGAGCAGCTGAGTAACATTTTTGCCCCAAAGAGAGGCAGTAACTAAACCCACCAAGACAAGAAGTGCAAGTGAATTAAAAACAAAACAAGCAAAAAAAACCAAACATGAGAAAAGTTACAGAAATTGCACCTTTAAAACAACAGTGAAGGAACATAAGAAGTTGAAGACATTTCTTCATGTCATCTCAATTCTGAATCTTTACTGAATCTTTAATCATCGCCTTACCTCACTACCACATACATATCTGTGCATACTGTCATAGCCATTACAAACTGTATGGCCAAAGAACAACCTTCTTAATTCTTTTATTTTCAGGGAAAAAAAGAAACAAAAAACAACAACCACCTCCCCCACAAAAAAAATCAAAAATCCAGTAGTTCTTCCTTTATTGCACTCTATAAAACTTCTTGTTATAATCAAGAAGCCAATAAACAGTAATAGCTGAATATTCCTTTAAAATTTATAGTTTAACTTTTAAAATAAAGTTTATATAGAAAAGATATCATTTACAACCCATTCAGTAGTAATCAATCATTATGTACTCACAAACAATATTAAATAACTTGTGTGCAGCAGTTTCTTTATAGGGCAGAGGGGGATATTTTCTCTTTAGCAAATATAATATTCCACTGTTAAAGAGCAATTCAAGTCAACTTTGGAGCAACTGTGATATACACAAATTTCTTTTAAGAAGCTCAAGATTCATGTAGTGTAACAAGAATATATACAACTGTGTCCAGTGCATAGCTTAACAGCAGCATGTGGAAAGTCTATTATCTTGGATTGGCACACCATTACCTACAGGGAAATAATTTACCCAGAAAATGCAGTGTATTCAGAGAACACCAGTGAGGCACAGTAAAACAACAAGATGTAGTGTAACTAGGTACGTGAGGAATAAATAGCGGGATTTTGCTCTGGAGGTCAGCAGCTTAGAACAGTAAAGACTTCGCCCTCGAAGCCATCTTCGGAAGGAAAGGGCTCCTCCTTTCATCTGGTTAGGAAACAAAAAATGTTAAATAAGTAATCATGAATACAAATGAGAAGAAGTTCCACTGCAACTTAGATTTCTGAGGCACTATAAACCCTTTGCCTCCGATTGCAGCAATGGATGCCACAGCACAGACTGTAAGCATAACTGATTTAAAGGCCAAAGAAAACAGCTTTAATAAAAGGGGAGAGGAATGGAGACAAAGTGTATTATGTAATTCTGGTGTATTACATAATTACACATACATACTAGACATGAAAATGCATAATTATATGCATACACCTTTTATTTAATGTCCACATGTGCAATATAAATATGATTACTCACATTTTGATTTGGACATATGTAATGTGTTCTATGGCATGGTATATACAGCTGCCTGTATTTGACTCACCATGCACAACCCAAGGAGAAAGAAATTAAGGACATTTTTTCAGTAAAATGTAGTTTCAGCAGTAGTTTGCTACTTTGAATGGATGCCTCTACAGCCCACCCAGCCCCACGATACCTAACACAATAAATAGAGTACTTCACAGTCAGCTTTTCAGAGACAAGGCGGATTAGACAAGTAGTTGCTTCATGCCAGTGTTTACATATAAAAAGGACAATCCAAATCAGTGACTTCCAGTCAATCGGAAGGGAAATCTGCTCTCCAAGAATGAATGACAGTCGAAAGAATGGTACAGCAGAGGGAAGACAGAAAAAAGAAAGGTGTAGCGTGAAGGAGATAATAATCTGTGTTAGTCTGCAACTAGCAGTATACAATATGCACACCACTTAAGTATAAGTCAGCGGTTTTAAAAGCTTTCATTTACGTACCTTTCGCACAATAACATGTTCACTAGGATTGATGATTAAGGCTTCCCTTTCCTCCTCAGTTTCCATCTGGACAGCGTATTCACTAGGTACAGACCTATAACTGCTTACTTCAAATCTAGAAAAAAATTCAAGGGAGACAATGGAGCACTGAATTATTCTCCTCTTTTAAAGTACTGAATTCACATAAGAAACATTATTTTGTATACTTACATTACTGGGGGAAGGTCCCCACAGACAGCAGTGAGACTTAGTTTATGTTGCCAGGTCTTCTTCAGTCTCCACTTAAAATCTACTCTCAAGGTGTTTCATTTATTCAGAATCACCCCCATCACCACTAGCTGACTGAACAGTGATTTTCAGATGACGGTAGTGATGGACACTTTATATAGGCAGATGGATAATGATATTTTAAATCTAAACAGCGGCTGTGCTAAAGCTGGTTTACGTGAGATTTTTTTCTAACTCGGGGGAAAAAAGAAATACCACTGACTATCGAGTCCAACACCTGAAGAAAGAAATTAAATAAAGGGGAAAAAAAAAAAATCCCAAAGCCCGTAACATTTTCTTGATCCATAGAGTTAAACCTAGCTTTTTAACACAGTTACACATGCATTTCTATTGCTTCAGGTACTGTGGACTCACAAACAGGTTCTACTATTTGTTCTATTTGTTCTATTATTTGCTCAGAAGTCTAGCACCCATAGGAAAACCTATCACTAATCTCACTTAAAAAAGGCAAACAAAAAATCTGATGCTCCTTTTTCCAGCTCTGTAGTACCCTTTGCATTTACTCCAGGTATAGTGTAAATGAAAACCTCATCATGCACTCATCTAAGGGGAAGCAGAAGCAAAAGATGGCTTCGGCGCTCTGAACATGCAAGTTATTTCACACCCACATAACAGTTTAATAAGGCAATGTAACTGTCACGTAATTCAAAAGTATAAGAAAAGAAAAAGAAATATGTTTTACAGACACTTTTCTTTAGAAAGAAAAAAAAAATGTTTTACAAACAGGAGTATTTTACCTGTTACTTTGCTCCTCAGAGAGTCCAAGAGCCTCTTCTGCAGCTTCTCTCCTCCTCTTCTCTTCTGACAGTGTTTCTGTCAGCTGTGAGAGAGCCTGCTGCACTGACTCATATTGTTGCTCAGTCTCTGCAAGCCTACAACAAAATGAAATTTGAAATCAGTATTTTACATACTTAAAGAATTACTTTCTTGTTCTTTTTCATTAAGGAATGTTCTTTTTTGTGATAAAGACTTAATTCTAATGAGATGCCTTAGATTAGGTATTGAAATACAGTCATCAGTAAGTATATGTCTTTACAAAACCAAACCACAAATATTACCAGATGATAACAATTCAAGAATATAACTATAATTAATTTAATCCACTGTAAATCCACTTCTTTCCCTTTTCCCCCACAACTCCTTGGAGGGATAGAAAATCATTACTTTCGCACTCACAACACCACTGTCAGGAAAACAATATTGCTAATACATGCTCTCAGTCCTGACCTTTTTCTGAGTTCATTTAGCTCCATATTGTCTATTTCAACAATAATTGCAGATCTCTCCTGTGGCGCTCCAGGGGGAACTTCTGCTCTAGTTTCATCCTAGAAAATATTAAAGTGGAAAAAAAGCCAGTCACTATTTTTCTAGCTGTTAAAAATCTTTATTTCGATTAAAGAAGCCATAAGCACCACAAAGCAGTGGAACAAACCACTCTTTGCGTCATTTAATTTCTGCAGTTGCAATTCTCCAAACCTGCTTTCTAACAGAAAGGTGATGAAGAATACTGCCTGTGTGTGCTGGGGGACTTGAAGAATACATGTACAGTGCATAACACAGCAATCTCTGAACAATGTCTGAAGTGAAAGAAATGCAGCTACACATCCACATAGTAATATCGCAACCACTGCAGTTTCCTAAGTAATGCAGTTACTCGTTTATTTTTTCAGTTTACAGTTCTCCTTGTTTATGTTTACGGAAGAGTAAGGGTTGTTTTATATATGTATCCATATGCTATTTTAGTGTATGATATTAATTGATTGTTACTGAATAATCAAGGTACTACAGGAAAACTTTTAAGAAATTAAGAGATCACAAAGGAGTGAGTTTACAGATGTGTATGAGGGGTTGGCAAAGGGTACTGAAATGCTGAACTGGTGATATAGATCTCACTTCCAAAAATATTACTCGAACACCTTGCAGAATGATTCATGACTGATGTGAAATTATCACTAAACTTTGCTGATACAGTGATCAGTGATCATCCAATTATCTGTCAGCTGTAGACCAATCCAAAAATTATGATAGTTCAAAACAAAAAAAGCATGTATAGACAGCTTCCTTAAATGAAAAGTCAAAAACTGGCTTTACAACAATAAAGACAGTTATCCTCAGCAGATCACGAGCTAGCAAGAGTACTGAATCAGTACAACAAAAAGTATTTATGTCAATTTTATCATGAAAACCAGAAAAGTGTAAGCACAGAAGGAAAAAAAAAAACAAACAAACCTAAAAACATTTCCATGTATTTTTTTTACCTGAACAGTGCCTTGGAAAGATGTCGTGTGCATTGTCTGATATTCCCTCTCCAGTCTTAAATAACGATTTTGCAAGTCAGTGTAACGAAGCTGGTTATCCCTTAGAGTCTGCGAAAGAGTCTTCAACTGGGCAGACAAGACAGCATTCTCTTCTGCTGACTGCACAACCTGAAAGAAATTAACATTTAAATACATAAAAATTGGGAATTATTTCCTTTAGGAAATTACTACAGATTTGAGACCTGCTGTTGAAAGCAACTGAGTACTAGTTTCAAAACTGCATCAATTTTTTGGCAAGGTCACAGTATGGTAAGATTTAACTTGTTGTTTTATGAGCAGCAGAAATAATGAAACATGAGTATAGATTTCCCCTGTCATCAATATGCCCAAACCAGAAACTCAGGGTTTTAAACCTCAATACCTTCCTCCCTGTGTTTGCTATGATATCACCACCTGGCAAAAGACAGTATATGTAGTTGTGACTTCAGGACAATGCATATAGCCCAATCAGCCTGATAGAATAAACATGTTCACTAGGCAATCCAGGAATGCTCAGCAGTTGAGTTCTCATCTTTTCAAAAAACACACTGCAATTTGGATCTCCACCCAAACACTCATCTTCACTTCTAGGGACTTGAGATTTCTACACCTGTTTCAAAGTTTGGTTAAAATTGTTATTAGGTTTATAAAATGTTTGGGTGAAGGACTGGAAAGAGACACAATGACAGATGAAAGGTAACATAAACCTAATTTGCTTCAAATACCAGGCCACACAAAGAGAGATAAATGTTAAGCAAATTTCCAAGAACATTTACAAACTTTTGTCAACAAAATTGAACACAAACACACATGTGCATGCTGACACACACAGTTACCATCTTAACAGGCATAAAAGTGTTCATCAAGAATTTATAAGGAAATGTTTTTGAGGTATTTAAAATTCGGTATGAGAGATCTAAAATCTGGTTCCAGCTAAGACAGACATCTGTTTCTGTCTATAATGAAAAATATTTCACTTTGAGTAGAAGTTCAGCAACGCCCCATCAATCTCTTCAAAATGCAGATTCAAATAAACCTCTCAGGCAAATAACAAGTCAGCAAAGCCTGACAGAAAGATAATACTGACATTTAGTTTACAATTTCTAGTCTGAGCCAATAGGGTTGTTCTGAAGAATCTAAGTTCTAAAGTAAACTAACTTTCAATCATACAAAACACTGTCAATTTAGCAGTATTTCTACGTTGATACCAGCTCAGATTCACATGAGCTATTTAGGATCACAGCTGTTGTTCTAAGTTACCTTTGAATTAATCTGCTGGAAATGCAGATCCTTCTGATGCATCTCCTGAAGGCAGCGTTGCAGTTCATTTTGAAGCCGATTCTTCTCAGCTAAGACATGTTTGATTTCCTCTGGTGTATCTGCACTCCCAGCGAGGGAGGCAGTTTCTAAAACCTTAAAAAGTATTACCATATTCAGTGTAAATGGTACAGGACTTCTCTAAATAATATACAATGCCAACACTAAATATACATACCGACTACATAATAAATTTCCTCTTCACAAGATCATTTCCTTCTCATAAGTTAATACCACATTCGCCAGAGACTTTATATTAAAAAAAAAAAAATCATCTACTTAGTTTTTAACTTGAATACTTCAATTAAAAAAACAATAAAAAATTACCATGAAAAGGCAACCCAACTTAATTTTTAATTTGCAAATAGTGTGAAGTGCAAAAAAAAAGGGGAGGGGGAATAGAAAAAGCCTAATGAATATAAAACAAATTTCAAAAATTATTTTCAAATTAATAAAGTATGGTATTCACGACTTGTAGAAGAACAGCTATTTCATAAATTGAATTTAAAGCTGAAAATCCATTTTGGAATAAAAAAAAAACCAACACACCCAACTTCCATCACTGATTCACAGCTTTGGCCTCCTTTATCTCTGGCAGGTCAATATTTTGATGTTAATCGCCAATAATAGAGGACAGTGTGCCATGTATTTTCCTATACAATCATGAAATAAAGACTTCTACCACATAAAATATTCCATAACCCAACAGATATTACTGTTCAATAGCTTTTATTTGTGATTTTAATCATAGGAAATGAACAGCATATGAGACACAAACTTGACCAACTAAAATGTTGGTTTTAATGAAATTAAAAAGAATATAGTTTACTTCCTCTGGCAGAGAAAAGGCAAATACAAATATTATTCTAAAATAATACTTTCCTTGAACCTTTAATGATAGTCTACAAAAGTAGACAGCAATTGCCAGACTTTGAGTCAGCTGCTGCCTTTCTAAATCTAGTATTTTGTTCCTGGCAGAAGCCAACTCCAGCTGCTTCAGGGGAAGGGCAAGAACACTTCCATTAGGCACATCTCTCCCTTCTCCTCTCAGTTAGGTCCTATTCTAATATGCAGTAATTAGAGATTGATTTAGGCTCTGAAGAATGAACTTCATTAGATCTTTAAAATTTGTCAGCATCAAGTATACAAATTGTGAAACTGTTGTCAATGTAAACTATCAAGTTCTTTTTTGAGTCTCTTAAAAACTGCGTGCCTGCAAATAGGTTGCAGCTATAATAGATGTGAAAAAAATGTTCACAGTACCTGAAAGAGCAAAGCCTTTTCATAGTTTTTTATTTGTGACCGAATGTCCCCTATTCTGGGTTTACAAGAAGTAAGAGTGTAGATTCTTCCTTCGCTTACATCCCACAGTACTATTAGGTTGGGGTTTTCTCCTCTCATTTATTTCTTTCTCAGTGTAAACAATCCCAATCTTTCTGACTTTCTTCTTTGAAGTTTTTCTATATCATGCTTTTGACCTCCCTCCTTTGAAACCTTTTCTGTATCACAATGCAGTACTTCTGTGAAGCTGAGGTGAAGTGTACTACAAATTATGAATTATGTTTTCTGTGCCACTTTTCCTACCATTTCTTCAACATCTGGATAACTTAGACTGGTTTTCTAAAAATAAAATATATGCACGTCACCTTGTTTGTCTATCTGTTCCCCAAATAATATCTGCATCAGCATGGCAATTCTAAAATTGGACTTTAAAAGAAGATTCATGTCTCAAAATATTATGATGCTTCTATACTTGTGTAATAATCACTGAACTGGGGGAGACAGATCCAACTCGATATTAGCTATTGAGAGAAAAAGAAATAGGTAGAACACAGGCTGTCTGGGAAGTGGTTAAATCAAGCAGCATGCAAAGACTCAGTGACAATAAATACATCGCTGGCATCCCACAAGTAACAGTACAGCATCCTAGTCTCTTTTGAACAAGAGTGCTATAGGAACAAGTAACGACACTGGTGTTATCCTAGCGTCAACAGTAAGAGACTCATGATAGATACAAAACTGGCACATGAAGCCAAAATTATATTCCCACTTACAGACATAATGGGTTTCATCTCAGCTACTACATGAGAATTCCTCCTTGAGTTGCCTGAAAGTTCCCCATCCTCTTCCTGATTTGAAAGAATTAACTGAGAAACCTGTACATTGCACTAGTTCTTTTTTGCCTTTCCAGTACGTATGTCTATTTACCAGCAACCAGTCTGCTGTTGAACCATGTTTGAACCATTTTCTTTCTTCTTTTTTTTTTCACTTCTTCCTATTATATTCCAGATTTAACTAACCTAAGACAGTAATTTACAAGATTACTTAAGTAACCTGTTAACATTAGCAACTAGCAAATAACATTACCTTACAATGTAACCACAACAAATTGTTACTCCTTTTTGACTAAGAATCAGTAACCATTACTGGTTCATGACCTTCACCTTTTGCTTCACAACCATTTCATTTCTTTATGAAGGTGCTTTCCATGTTTTTAACAATTAAAATACACCACATCAGTGAGTTTTCTCTGTTATTCTTTCAACATGTGAGAAACTCAGGATTTTTCCTTGTTTAAAAGCAGTTGATCAATACATCAGACTCCATTAAAAATGGTTTTAACAATTGCAACTCATTTGCTTGGAATAGTTTTAACTTGCCGATTTGACCCCAGGCAACAGTGACATACAGGTAATGCACTCATCAGCTTTCCATAGTTCACCATCATATGCTCTATGGTCCTCTTTGGGAAGCAGCCTGCAAATTTAATAGACTAAACCGATGGAAGTAGGTTCGTGCCTCCTGTTACATTTCATTTATTTACCTTGACTGGGTAATTGCTGCCAGCAGAGATTGATTTCTTAACAATCATGTCTTGTTGCAGCTTCTGTAGTTCTGCAATCTGTCGGTCTTTCTCAGCAACTGTGATTTGACATTGATTTCGCAGTGCCTGGGACTCTGAGAGGAGGAGGGTTTTTTCCATTCTGAACATAAAATGTTAGACTAGACGTTAAATGACAATATAGTGCATACAAGTCAATGAAAAGGACAAAGCTGTACTTACTGTTATTTCCGAAATAAATACGGGTATTTTTTGAACATTCATATGTGAACACAGAGCACTATACGAACATTCTCAATACATACTTCAGTTTAAAGATATCCACTAAAAAAGCAAAAATCAGAAAATAAAGCCTGGAAAGCGATAACGTCAAGTTTGCTTCATTGGTTTGGAGACAAGAGAAGTTCATTGGCTGCAGAGGTACTAACATCTGTTAATGCAATAAATACTTCAGCTACCTAAAGAATAAGGTTGCACAGCAAAGCGACTCTAGGTCGCAACTGTGTAGAGCACTGCTCAAGATAGCCAGTCTACCCTATCGCAAGGACACAAGTTTGAAAAGGAATACCCTAGACTCAGAAGGCTGAAATAAACAAACATGCCACATCTCCAGAACCTGATGTCATACACGGGTAATATCACAAAGGGCATAAAAGTAATTTAAATCTTTTTGAATTAAAGTTAATATCTGTTTTTGAAGTTTGGGAAAAAAAAAATGGAAAAAAACTATTCATGCCGTTCACTGGTTGAGTCTACAAGTTAGAAGGAGGTTTGAATATTTCATGCTAACTTGCTCACATTTGCAAAGATAAATGTGGGGCTGGCCTTTTGATCTACACTCTTTCCCCCAAAAGCTTCTAGTATAAAACAGATACTATCTTACACAGGCTTTAATTAGAGATCTAGAAATTATACTATGGAGAGTAAAATGCAGTTAAGGGCACTAGGATACTGCCTACTGGTGTCAAATTCAAACAAAATTATCTTCACTGAACCGATCATAGCATGCTTTCGCACTTCAATCATCTGCACAAGTTTAAAAGCTTGAACAAGAACAGCCGTCTAGGATGATCAAATCTTGATCTGCCTCCACTGAGTGCCACTTAAAAATGCCTGCTGCCTTCTTTGAAGCAGATCTTATGAGGCATTCATAGAATTAGGCCCAAGGTGTCACATTACTCATTTGTCACAGATGATGCAAGATATGAACAGTGCTGAAGTGGCCTCTTGAATCTACAAAAATAGTGCTTAAATGTGAAATGAATTTAATTTTCAATATGTAGTTGGGCCAAACATGCAACACCTCAGACATCTTTTAAAAAAAGAGACTGGGGGGGGAAATGTTCAGCCATATCAATTGTTACTCTAAGAAGAGAATATGATACCAAGCATTGAAACAAGATTCTTAAACTGTAGTTCCATATGTCCAAGTCACTAACAGAACAGAAAACATTCAATTAAGACTGTTTGAAATCTTACATAAACCAAGAGACTATTACATAAAGATACAAAGATAGCTGTGAACAAAGACAATGCTGTGGAAGTTGATTTCGCACACTACACAAATGCTTTTATCCTGCTTCCTGCTAAACTATACATAATTGTGGTTTTGTGTCAGTTTTATGTCAGGTTGTGAAGTCACTCAAGAATTCTAAACAAGAGTCATATGTACTGTTTAATTTTAACATTTATACCTTAAGCCAGCAAGCTCATTCTGGTATGATGCAATCTCTCTCTCCGTTTCTGCTTGGAAGGCTTTTGTCTGATGCAATGCCTTCTCCAAATCATCAACCTTGGTCTTCAGTTTTGATATTTCAACAGCTGCAAGGCTCGCTCCTTCTTTAGCCTACATTTAATAAACATGATTAGTGAACTGGAATGAAAACTATATGGTTGATGTTTTATTACTGCTAGAATTTTAATTACAGAATAATGTTTCTTTCCCCGTTTGCTCCTGTTTAACAGGATAATTACCTAAACTCCCAAAACTGTAAGCACGCCTTCTCCAGTCACACAATGTTTTCTTAGCACTCTCGTAATTTACAAAGTTAAACTTTAGAATCCATAATGTCTCTAAGCATTCTCTGCATAAAGAAAAAAATTACAAATTGATATAGCTAATCAAAACTTACCAATCTTTCAATTGTTCTGAGGCGTATCCAAATTACTTTTAAAAGAATTTCTCTCATTGATGCTGTTGCAGCCAATGGGAAATGAAGCTCTGCCCTGTTTTGTTTCAGAAGTTACCTTCTGATTGCTGAGCTCCTGCAGCAATTTGTCTCGGTCATCCTGAAGACTGGCCATAGCCTTGGAAAACGCTTCAATCTGGTGAACGTAACTCCCACACTCAGATGACAGCTTGCTAACCTCCATCTCTCGACTGACTAACATCCTACAGACATTTTCAATTTCATCAGCAATCTGATCAAGTGTAACGTTATCTGCAGCATCAAAAATAGCCTGATTCAGAAGAGAATTTTCTTTGAGTATACTGATAAGATGTACTTTAAAGCCATCCAATTCAGCTTCAAGTTCATCTCCTTTCTTTTTTTGAGTCTTGAATTCAGATGTGTATTTGCTCTGCAGTACCTTTAAGTCCTCTATTATCCTATCTCTATCATTTTGCAGAGCAGTCATTGCTTTCCCAAAGGCCTCATTTTGGGACCTCAGCTCACTATTTTGAGACTGAACTTCTAATATCATCTTCTCGGCAAAAGTATCAGGTTGATCTCCATGTTCAAGTGTCAACAGAGTCTTACTGTATTCCTTGTCTGCATTCTTACTATTTCTGCCTCTTGATTTCTGGAGTTCTTGAATCTTCTGAAGATTTCCCTCATACTGTCCATTTGATACACATTCTTTTTTCTGAACACTATCACTAGTTAGCAGTTTTTCTCCAGATTCAGAAACAAGTTTCTCTTTGTTTAATGATGCAATTAAAGATTCTAAATCATTTACTTTAGATACTAATTTTTCATTTTCACGTTCCAAAGATACAGCAGTATCCTTTTGCAGTTCATTGGAAAGCTGCATTTCTTTTACTTGTTTTTGAAGATCATATTTTTCTTGTTCAAGTCTTTTAATACAATCCATTTTCTGCTTAAGTAAATCTTTCAGCTGATGGTCTTTCAGAGATAAAACTTGGTTAAGATCTTCCCTATACTTTATCAGCTGTGCACTTAGCATTGCATTTTCAGAATGAAGATCATCTATCTGATTGAGAAGTATCCTTAATTCTTGTTTCAAAGCGTTATTCTCGCTTGCACTGCCAACTATAAGACTGTCCCGCTGATTTAAGACATCTTGGTGAAGATGTTCCAGCTCTTTGTATTTAGAAAAAAGATCATCCCGATCATTCTGAAGAGATGACATTGATTTTTTAAAGGCATCTATTTCACTGGCAATTGCAGCCTTATCTTGACCTGCCTTGTCTGCTTTCATCTGCAGATTTCTTAATTCATTTTCCATCCTCTGACAGGACTCCTCAGACTGTTGTCTCTCTATCTGCAAAGACCTTAACTGAAGTTCGTACTCTTCAATTTGTTTTCTATGTTGAGTCTGTACCTGAATCAGATAGTCAGAAATTTCTTCACCTTTTGAAGAAATGAGTAAGGAAATTTCTTCATCTTTACTATTTAGCATGATCTTCATTTGCTCAGAAATTGTAATCTGCTTTTGCAATTCAGCATTCATTCTTTCCTTCTCAGCTAGAAGCTGTTGCAATTCTTGTTCCTGTCTCGTAAAATTACTTTCCAGAGCTTTTATCTCTCTTCCTGCACTTTTACTATTCTCTATGAGATGATTAAGAGAATTATTTTCTTTAAGGAGTGTTTGCAAAGCTTCTTCTTTGGACTGAAGAACACTCTCCAATTCTTGCTGCCTGTTTAAAAAAAACTTATTTTCTTCCTTTATTCTGCAGAGCTCTTCATAGCGTTGTGTATCAACAGATTTTTGCCTCAAATACAGTTCATCCTTTGTTTCCTCTATCACAGAATATTTGACATTCAGTTCCTGAATCTGAGTAATTTTGTCTTTCAATTCATCTTGTAAAGACATTATTCTTTTATTACTGTCTTCTATCTGTTTCTCTTTATTTTGGATGGCCTCTTTGAAGTGCATTTCCCAGGTTTTCATTTCAGTGATTACCCTGTCCCGGTCATCCTGAAGAGAGGACATACACTTTGTGAAAGCAGCTAATCGTGCCAAAGCTGCATTCAAATCTGCTTGAAGTTGCTTGTTTTGAGAGTCCTTAATGCTAACTTCCTCTTGCAAACCACGAATCTCACTAATTGCCCTATCTTTTTCTCTCTCAAGGGCACTGTGTCTTTCCTCTAGGTTCAAAAATTCTCTTTTGTGTACCAATTTTAATTGTTGAAGATTAAATTCCAATTCTCTCGCATATTCCCTCTTTTGAATTTGTAGTTCATCTTCTTTCTTCTGAAGTTCTTTTCTCCAATTTAGATTCTCATCTGTAAGCCTGTCCACTTCATTCTTTGACTGATGCAACAAGTTCATCTGTGAAGTAAGCTTTCCCTTGAGATGATATATTTCTTCATTTGACTTCGCAAGTTTTTCTGACGTATTACTTAAGTCCTTTTCGAATTTTTCACTTTTTGACTGTGACAGTTTCACAGACCTTTCCAAATCCAGGATCAGCTCCTGGAACTTTATAGAATCCTTTTGCAAATGGTTGATCTCCTGTTGTTTCTCCTTTAAGAGTTCTTGCAATTCTTTTGTTTTGTTTTTACTTCCATTATTATCCCTCTGAGCACTTTTCACCTTCTCCTCAAACATTTTTACAAGATGTAACTGCTGTTCTTCTTTTTCTCTAATCACATTACATTTTTCTGCCTTTAATTCTTCCAGTTGCTGTAACAGCAAGCTATTCTGTACCTGTGCTGATTTCATTCTATCAGTAAGATGATCAACCTTTTTAACATGATTAAGCAATTCCGTCTCAAGAAATTCTCTCTCATTCTTTACTTTGTAAGAACTTTCTTGTACATTTTCTAATTCTTCCTGTAACAGACATTTATCATCCTCTAAAATCTTAACTTTTTCATTTAAACTAACAATGTCTTGTGTAAGACTTTTACATTCCATGTCCAGCTTTGTTAGACAATGATTTTTATGGTCCAAAGATTTTTCAGTTTCTTTCACTTTTTCTGAAATTAAATTTCTTTCTTGTTCTAGGACAAGCACATCTTGTTCTTTTACAGAGAGTTTATCCTTTAACACATTAATGTCCTTTAACAGGGATTCATTCTCATACAGTGCATCATTGATTTTAGATTGCATATCATTTTGGTACACTTTCATTTGAACTTGCAGGTCTCCCAAAGCTGCTTTAGTTACAGTGATGTTATTATGAAGGATATCATTTTCATTCTGAATTTTCTCTAAAGCCTGCTTTAAATTTTCAGAAGTTTGTTTCAGCTGCTCATTTTCCTCCATTAGCTGATGATTCTGTTCAGTGAGTTCATGAAGACGATGCTGGTGTTCTTGCATCCTCGCCTCTTGCTCACGTATCTGCCTTTCTGCTTTACTTTGTAATTCGTCAACTTCCATTTTCTTGGATTCGCCGAGTTGTTTCAGTTGATTCTTAATAACCTCATTTTCATCAATGAGTTTTTGTAAATGCTTCTCAAGAGCCTCCTTCTCAGATTCTCCTTCCCTGAGTCTTTGAATAGCCTCTTGCTTCTCTTTTCTACTGAGATCAATAACTTGCCTCAGATCTGCTATTTTACTACTGACATTCTCATATGCCTGAAGAAGTGATTCATATTCCTGCTTTAATTCACTATGTTTAGCCTTCCATCCTGTTAATTCAACTGTCTGAGAATCTTTTAAGGTATTCAGTTGGAAAGAAAAGGCCTCTTTTTCCTGAACTATAGTCTCCATGGTGGATTTAAGACTTTCACATGCCGCACTGAGGTTTTCATTTTCAGTCAACAGTCTAGCATTTTCAGAAACAAGGCTCTCCTCTTTAGACAACGGAGAAACAGTACTTGAACTTTGTTTTTCTCTACCAAGCTCTAACAAGTGTTCAAGCATCCCTGTCTTGTTCACCAGTTCTTCTCTTTCCAATATCAGTTTATCAATCTGGTCTTTCAGACATTTATTTTCTCTCAGGGCTTCTTTACGTGATATTAAAGCCGCCTGTAATTTTCTTTGAAGGCGCTCTCTGGACTTCTCTTCTGCTATAGTTCTTTGCTCTTGTGGTTTAGAATCATTTACATTTGCAGTTTTTGCCAGCGGCTCTTCAGTAGTTTGCATTTGTTTCTGGATTTGACATTCTGTTGCTTCTCTCAGTTTAGTCTCCCCGGAGTAATCAGTCTCTGGTGGTTGAGAACAGGTGCCTTTACCTTGTAATTTTCCTTGAAGGGAATTACTTTCCGAACAAAACTCTCCCAATTCTTTTTCAGTATCATTTTCTTCCTTAAGCTCCTTGCATGACACTACAGGTCTACTCATCTCAGCCTTCTCACGTAGCATACATAGCTCTGTCATAAGGTTTTTGTTTTCTTCGCTGAAATGTTTTACCTCCTTTTTCATATTAATTAGTTCCAAATTGGACTTTTCTAAACAACTGAGAAGTTTCTCTTTTTCACTCTTCGTTTCTTCAAAGGCTGTTTTGTAACGGTGGGCTGCTTCTTGGCCCTCCTTTATAGCTTTGTTTAACAATTCCTTTTCCAGATCAAGTTTATCTTTGAAATCCTTAAGTGAACAACGCAATGCTTCTATTTCCTCACTCTTTTCTGCAACCTCCTTCTTAGCTTCAGTTCTCAATCTCTGCATTTGCTCCTGGCTCATCTTGTAATCCTCTTCACATTTTTTAATAAGTGCTTCTTTCTCATTATTCACATGTTCAAGCATGGTCTTAATGTCTATAGCTTCAGCCTCATATGCTTTCAGTTTTTTCTGTAGCAGCTTTACGTCCTCCAACAAGCTGCCCTTACATTGCTCCTGGTACTGCTCCTGCTGTCTCAAAGAGTTTAAGTTGACTGTTTCTTCTCTTTCATTATCAAATTCAGTTGATATTTTTCTCAACTCTTTCTTTAACATTTCTGTTTCCTCCTGAAGTTTTGCATAATTACTTCTTAGTTCTTTTAACTCAGCGTCTTTACTCGCCACTGAAGTGATGATCACGTTTTCTGACTCTTTTAAGGACGCAACCTGAACCTTGCTTCTTGGTTTGTCTGATTCCAAATTCCTTAGATCAGCTGCTTCTTCTCCCAGCATCGCCTCAGGTGAAGTCAGCTCTTTCCATACTCTTCTAACTGATTCAAGTCAAATTCTTTACATTTTCTATGAAGAACTTCCCAGAGTGCTTTATGTTCTTGTTTGAGTTGCTCCAGGCGGTTTTTTTGTTCATCAAAATTTGCTGCAAGTTTACTGTGCTCTTCCCTTTCTTTCTGAAATTTTTTCATATCTTCTTCCCTGTCCAAAAGCTCCCTTTGCAAGGCTTCTTTTTCTTGTTTTAATTGATTCATGACATTAATGTCACTGTTGGGATCCAGACACTTCTTCCTGTCCCCAGCACTTAAACCAGGCTCTTCTGAACTGCAACTTTTCAACAATTCTTCCTTCTTAACTTCAGACTTCATCTTCTCAAGAGCTAAGAGCAGCCGAGAACGTTCCTCTTCATATGCACTTGCTTTTTTATCAAGCATAGATTGCATATGAGCAAGCATGCAGTCCTTTTCCTCTAAAGATTTTAGGTTCTGCTCACATGTATTTTGTTTTTCAGCAATGACATCATTTAGTTCTGCAATATTGTCCTGAAGTTCCTCTAAATAAGAAGCTTTTGAAGACAAAATTTCAGACAAATCACTTATTTTGGCATCTTTTTCTAAAAGTTGTTGCTTCAAAGTTCCAAGATGAGACTCAAAATCTTTATTTTGTACTTCAACTAGTTTCAGCTTGTCTGTTAACTCATTAACTTTCTTCAACAGCTCCTCTGCTCTTTTTTGCTCTTTTTCAATTTCTTCCTGTCCACTCTTTTCTAGTTTTCCAACTTTTTGCATTAGATCTCTTCTTATTATCAATGCTGCTTGAAGTTTCTTTTTCAGATTCTCTTTTTCCTTGCCCATTTTCTCAAGATTAAACTGCATCTCCTCTTTTTCATTCATTAAATCTTTAAACACAGCTTCTCTACTGCTTAACATAACCTGACTATGTTCCAGTTCTTTCTTACAATCCTCAAGTTCCTGCAAGACTCGGTTTAGCTCTCCTACAGAACTACTATGAACAGCTTCAAGGTCTTGCAGTTTGGTATTTAATGTATTTCTCTCTTGAGAAAAATTCAGCATTTCATTAGACAATGATTCCATGATCTGAGTAACAGAACAGTCCTTTTCTTTCAGTTGCTGGCTTAGACCAGAAATTAAATCCTTCTGCTGATTTACCTGGGAAGTTAAGTTTTTGATGAGTTGATCTTTTTTTCCCATTTCTTCAAGGAGACTTGCTGCTTTTTCACCTTCAACATGCAGTTTTTCCTGACTGATTCTTACTATTTCTTCTGATTTATTTATCTTGTCTTGAAGAAACTCAACCTGCTTATTTATTTCTGCAAAAGACTCTTCCCTTTCTTGCAAGAGAGACTGTTGTTTACATAATGTTTCCTTAACTGTGACCATTTCTTTTGACAGACATTCAATTTCAGATTTGTATTTGCCCTTCATCTTTTCAATATCATTCTGCAGTAACTCCTTCTGCTTCTCAAGTGACTGCATACTTTTTAATTCACCTTTCATGGTGTCTATTTCTTTCTGTTTTTCTAAAAGCATCAGTTGCAATTGTTCTCCTTCTGTTTCTTTGCTCAAAATAGTGGTGATCAGAGTGGAGAATTTTTCCAACTGAATTTTACTATCAGTTAGCTGCAGTTCAGAATCTGAAGTCTGTGCCGCCTTTTCTTTACATAAAAGCCCACTCCTAAGTAAAGGAGATAACCTTTGAGTTAATTCCTCTTTTATAAGATCCAGCTCTTGCTGCAAAGACTGGATTTTGCTATCCTTTGATTTCATTTCACTTTCTAAACAGCTCAATTGCTCAGTGAGATTATTATTTTGTAAAGTTGCCCTATCAAGTTCTGTCACCCATTTGTTTTCTGACTCAAGTAGACTTTGTTCTAGAGTTTCAAATTTAAGTTCTAATTTAGAAAGTTCTTCACCCTTCACACTAACCTGCATCTGTAACTTCTCTTTTTCAGTCTTCATCTGCAGTTTGATAGCATCTATCTGCATTCTTGAATAATTCTCACTGGTTTCTAGTTTTTCATTGATTTCTTGGAGCTCTTCCAATTTCTTTTGCAAATGATTTTGAGATGCATTAAGTTGTGTGTTTTCCACCATCAGTTTATCAGCATCTTCTTGTAACAGATTTTTTTCTCTCTCTAAAGACTCTACCTGACACTGCAGACTACCTATTAAAAGTCCATTGTCATGGCAGTCTTGAGATGATTTGGAATTTACATTGTTCAACTCTAACTTCAAACATGCTATATTATCTGCCTGTTCAGTGCACTTCACACGCAGGGACTGCACAGCCATTTCTTTTTGCTGTAGTTGTTCTTCCCATGTACTTATTTGGTCTAGTGCTTTTTGGTGTTTGCTTTTAAGAGACTCAAGCTCAACAGTCAAAGAATCGATTTTCTTCTGATCAATATCAAGCTTCTCATTCTTTTCCTCAAATTCCTTAGTAAGGTTTTTCATGGCCATATCACTTTTCTCTAATTTTATTCTGAGAACCTCAATCTCACTAGAAAGAGCATTACTGTTGCTCTCTGCCAACTGTATACTGGTATCTTTCTCCTTTAAAGAATTATGCAGTTCAGTAATAACTTCTTCTTTTTTTCCAAGAGCTGCATTCAACTCTGTTCTTAGTTCATACTGTGCTTCAATTTTCTCCTGAAGAGATAAAAAGGCATTTTCTTTCTCATGGACTAGTTCTTTAGATTTTTGTAGTTCTTGTGTTAGTTCATGTATCTGACTTTGGAGCTGAGAAATTACATTTGTCTTCTCTTCATCCTTCTGTGCTTTCTCCTTCAGAGTTTTGAGGAGACTTTTATTTTCCATAAGAGATGATTCCTTTTCTGATAAGGACTGGTCCATCTCAATTATTACATTCTTCTGATGTTGTATATCTTTTTGTAAATTCACTTTCACTTCCTCTAGCTCTACCACCTGTTTCTTCAAGACCTCACATTCATTCTCTTTCTCTTGAATTTGCATCTTTAAATTCTCACTGAATAATGAAATATTGCAGATGGTTAATTCTTTTTCTGAAACAAGTACTTTTAATTGTTCCACTTCAGAGGCTAAAAGCTCTAACTGTCTCTCCTGCAAAACAGAAGATTCCTGTATCTCAGAAAGCTGTGCTTTTAAACTGATGCATTCATCTAACTTTTGCTTTAAAGATTCATCCTTCTGTATAATCGAATCATTCAACTGGGATGATTTTTCCGTCACATTACTAAGCTGATACTGAAGGTCAGAAATAACCTCCATATTCTCAGACAGTTGAACCCTAAGTACATCAGACTCTTCAGATTTATCTTTTAATAACTTTAATTCTTGGGCTTGCTTCTTAAATTCATTTTCTTTTTCCTGCACTGCGTGTCTAAGCTGGCTGGTTTCAAAACCTAGAGCTTGTATTTGGTTTTGCAGATCTGAAATGATTTGCATATATTGCCCTTCTCCTGCCATTTTACTATCTTTCATTTGCTGAATCAAAGCCTCTTTTTCAGAAAGGAGAGTTTCCTTTTCTTCAAAGACAATTTTTAAGTTTTCTTTTTCAATCAACAGGCCATCAATTTGGTCCTTCAGAGCTAAAATATTATGACTTTGTTGGGACAAGTGTGAAGTTAAAGCAGCTACTTCATCTGCCTTTTTCATTACCATAACATTAACTGTCTCAATGTCTACTTTCAATTTTTCATTTTCTAGAGCTGCTTTATGTGCTTGTTGCCTTGCTGAAGTAATTTCAGACTGTTGCTGTACCAACTGTGACTGAAGAAATTCACACTCACGTGACTTCTCGCTCAACAAGCGTGAAAAGTCCTCTTTCTCGTGCCTAAGCACATCCACTTCTTTGCTTAATAGTTGTAGTTGATTATTTAACACTGTACTTTCTTCCATTTTTTCAGAAATTTGCCTGTGAAACTTCTCAAGTTCTGAACCCTGACTTTTTAGAGTCAGGTCTCTTTCCTCTACCAACTGAGATAACTTTGTTTTTTCATCTTTAAGATTTTTAATTTCACCTTGCAACTCTACAATACAAAGTCTGCTCTCTTCCATTTCCTTACGTAATGAATCATTTTGAAGGATCTTCTCTTCTAGAGACCTGTTCGCAGTTTCAAAATCCAAAGTTATGCTTTGAATTTGTTCCTGCAGTAGTAAATTCTTTTCCTTACTATGGCTGAGCTCTTGGATTAGCTTACTGCATTCTGATAACTCATTATTAAACATTTCTTCTTTCTGTATTTCTTTGTCTCTAGTATCCTTCAGCTCAATGAGAAGTGATTGCATTTGTTCATGCAACTGTTGTGTCTGTTCCTTGCTTTTAAACAACTGATCAGCTAGCACATTACATTCCTTTGTTTTCTCCTGCAGCTGTTCTGCAACTGAATTTTCTTTTTGCTCGGCAAGTATTGAAAGTTGTTCAATCTCTTTTGCCAGAGTGTTTTTATCACAATTTAGTACTGAAAGAGTTTTTTCAAACTCAGCAGTGCTTACAGATAACTTATTTTCTACTTCTGCCATAGCCTGGATTTTCTTTAACAGTTCACAATCCACATCCAGGAGTTTGGACAATTTCTCATTTTCACTGATTAGCCGTTCCTTCTCTTTTTGCACCATATCTATACTTTTTTTCAGATATTCAGTTGCTTTTACTTGCTCTGCCAATTTTTCTTCTTTCCCTTCAAGATCTGCCTGCAATTGCTTATTAGCTGAAGCTTTCTCCTGTGTCTCTATTTCCAGTTTGTTAATTTGTTTATGTATTTCATTTATTTGGTTATTAAGTTCTTCGCAACATGTCTCTTTGGCTTTCAGATCTCCAGTTAATTTAAGTTTAGTCTCTTCATTTTGCTGCTCCAAAACTTGAAGCTTCTGCTCTAATGAAATAATGAACTCTTGTTTCTCTAGCAATTCTTTTTTAATTGTTTCCTGATGTTCAGTATCTTCTATAAGCTTCCTAGATAACTCAGCCAACTCTTCATCTTTTTTAGCATTTTCGAGAACCAGTTTGTTGTATGAATCTTTAATTAATTTTAACTCATTTTCAAGTGTCTGTGCTTTATTCTCTTTCTCTTTAAGCAAATTGTTGCATTTTTCCTTTAGAGTATTGTTTTCCTCAAGCTGAGATTTCAAATATTCCATTTCTTTTCTGTGTTTATCCTCGGTTTCTTGTAGCTTTTCAGATGATTTACTGATTTGTTCTTTCAGCAAAGTAATTTGTGACTCACACTCCGCAAGTTTGTTATGGTATGCGACATTGTTGGCCTTGATTTCAGAACGGAGATCCTTAATTGTAATGCTGTTCTCACTGCTTTGTCTTATTAATTCCTCATTTTCTTTGGTTTTAGCTTCATTCTCAACTCTAACTCTTTCTAGCTCTTGTCTCATTGTATTACTCTGCTCAGAAAGGACAGATATCTTCACGCTTGCATCCCTTACATCAGCTGTTTGTACTTCTTTCAGTAAATGAGTTTCCCTTTCAGCCTTTGATAAGGCCTCTTCCATCCCTCGTACTTCTTCCTCTTTGCATTGCACTTGACGCTTCAGGATGATAACCTGTTCAGAATATTCTGTCATATTCAAAGACAGGACAGACACCTCCCTGTCTTTTTCTGCCAGTGCTTCTTTAAGATTATCAATTTCTCTTTCACGTTTCTGGAGATCTTGAATAAGTTGAGATCTTTCCTCCAAATGGCTTGTATTCAATTTGTCAAGCTCTTCATTTGTCTGCTCCAGATCCAGCTGCATCGACTCTACCAGGCCATCTTGCTTCAAAGTCTAAACCAAGAAAATAATGTTACAAGAATACTTAAAACAAACTTAGAGGGAGAACGGAGTTACACTCCACACATAGAACAAGTATCTACAGTAATCAATCTGTATCCAACTGTATAGTCACAAGATAACCATGTTATTCTTTAGACTGTTTTAGCACACAAAAAATTTCCTGTATGAAATTTTAAGTAGCTAAGGCTGTTATTTTGCTAACATTTACATAGGTCATGTCAAAAGAACATAAAATTTCCTCTTTTACTTTAGTTTAATGAGTTACCTTTTCCTTCAGTGTAGCAACTTTTTCTGTTAGATCACTGATGACTGTTTTCTGCTCAGTGGTCTCCACTTCATACACACTGCATTTCTTTAAGGTTTCATTCAGCTTAGTATTAAAAATAAAAGTCAAAGTGATATAAATATGTAGAATTATATTAAAATTGTGATGTTAGAGTTACAATACTGAGTTCACACAACAGTGGAGTTTATACTGTGAAATTAACAAACGAGGATAACTTATCACTCCAATAAAACATAAATACTTTCATGCACAGCTCTGTGTTGGGTCTAAGAAATCCTTACACCAAATTGAAGTAATTACGTGAAGTGAACAAAACTGTAAAGAAACAGAGCAAAAACTTTCAGATAGGGAAAACAGCAATATTACTGCTGGGACACAAACAGAAAGTTATGGCTAATGCTCGCCGGTTCTAATAAATTAAATACTATTTAACAATAACTTTAACTTACTTTTTGCTCGGTATGTATGAACTTTTCACCAAGCTCTTTGTTCAGAAGATCCTTTTCTTGAAGCAGTTTCCTCAAAGTTTCAATTTGTTCCAGTTGTTCTGTTGTGCTCAACAGTTTCTGTTCTTTTTCTCCAAGCAAATTTTCAAGGAAGCTATTTCTGTCACTTAATCTAAGAAGAAAATACATATTTAGACATTTTGAAAACAAAGCTTGCTTTAAGCTTTCTAGACTTACTAACCCCAAACAATTTTCCTAAAAGAATAATTATTTTTACACTTTCAATTTAAACTTCCAAGTACAGAAATAACATTACTGCAAACAGAAGCAGGAATCAAGTAACTCTTTTTCAAGTGTTTTAAGAGATTATACTTCTCATTTGAAATTAAAGCTTAAAGCAAAAAAAGCTAATTCTGCATGAAGTTGTAAAGAATCCTTATTTTACCCCTTAAGCTGCTCATTCAAGCCTGAGATCAGAATTTGATGCTTTTCCACATCTCGCATTTGCTGGTTGCGTAACTGGGTGAGTTGAGTTTGCAAACGTTCATTTTCATTCTGCAACAAAACAATAATGAAGAGCACTACTACATACAAACACCCAGAATAGCATGAGATAACTGGAGTCACGAAAATCTGACTCTTCAGGAGATTTACATCCTGTAAGAGACCATTATTCTAGCACTCCAGCAGGTATCAGTGCAAAATGCAACATTAATATCACAAGTTCAGATGTGATATTAGTTCAAATAGATGCAACCCACCTTTCAGAAATACTTCCTTCAGCAATGCTATGATAGCATGAACTCAAGGATCATTGCTACATACCCAAACAACACACACACTCATACTGTGTTAAGGCAGCTCACTTATCATAATAGGGGAAGCTACTGCTTTGAACAAATACATTCCTCATTGTTTTGAGCACAGTACCAAACTTGCAAATTTTTTTGCCTATTTTTTTAGGTTGAAGGAATGCAAAAACCCACATATGGGGGGATTGTGGAGAAAAGAAAAAGGAAGCAAGCTTCATTCACACAGTTGTTTTGTTTTTCAAACACAGTACAAATCTCCTACTCTAGTCAGATCCACTGCACCAATACAAAAAAAAAAAAAAAAAAAAAAAAAAAAAAATCTGAAAACAGCAACCAAAAACCAGAAGCAGAACACATGTCCAGAATCAACAGCAAATAGGATAAACATGCCAAACTTGTCACCGCTAATGAAAATAAGCTAGCATTTTGGAGAAGGCAGAACACACCTGTACCGCCCTCAATAGCTGCCCTTCTTCATCTACACCAAATGTTACCTGTATTGAAAGGCTTTGTTACAAGATCCTCAAGTAATAATACAAGGTTTTCTTTCATCTTAAAATCATTAATTCTTTTTTATATGTGTGCTACTTAACAGATAAAGAACTATGAGTAATGCACCAGGCCTGAAAGTTTGAATAAGAGATCACTTGTGTGATTTAGCAAAAGTAAGGTTTACAAATTATCAAACATAGTAACTTATCAGTCAGGCAATATTAAAAATAACTTTTCTGATAAATAATTACTTTACCACTCCTTTTGGTACCTTCATGGAATAATTTTACAATATAAATATAAAACAAATTAATATCTGGGGTTTTTGTTGTATATACATAAATATTAAATTATTAATTACATTTCTATATTCACACCGTTTCTTTTCCATAAATATATATGTGTGTGTGTATGAAAGAATAATAATACACACACCCATTTATAGAAAAGAAACTTGAGGGATGTCAGAAGAGGAAGACTTATGTCAATAGTGATAAAAATCTACTTCTGGACCTTCTGACAAAAGGCCCCTACAAAGAATAATGAAAATCATGTTGCTTTTTACTATGTTTCTAAAACAAATAACAAAGCTTACTTCCAAACAAGTTTCTCCAGTTCACATAGTTCAACTTCAGAGCATAATATAGTACATGTACACTCTCTGTCAACATAATTATGAAGTAGGCTTTACACATTTTTGCTAGCTGCAAATTGACATTTTTGACTTACTGTAGGCTATGATTGTAAGAATATAAACAGAGAATAAAATGATTCTCTTATATCATCAGGTTTTACACAACTGTGAAAGCTCACCTGAAGAGTCTCCATTCTACCTTGAAGCTGCAATCTATCTTCCAAATCCTGACAACGCTCTTCTAGAAAAAGAATTTGTTCCTGCAGTTGATTTCTTTCCAATTCCAACTCTTCAACCACACTTCGTAAGCCTACTTAAGTCAAAGAAGAAAAATAATTTCAAGAAAGGTCTACTAAAATTCCTGAAGTCTAGAAATGGTTTCAGCTTTTTGTTCACTATTCTCACCAGTGTTGGGCACAATCAGATCTCAACCATTGCCAGTGGAAATGCCTGAGGCCCTGCATTTCCAAAAATTAGATGGTAAAACTGCCCTTAACTGTTGAAAAACCAAAATAAAGTTGCACAGCTCAAGAACTCAGAGAACCTGGCAGAAATATTCTAAACAGTACTGTTGCTCAATCAATAGTGTGGCTCATGTTACTACAAGTTAATCATGTTCTTGCAGATCTTAACCAATTATTAATGAACAAAGTCAACTGGTCTGTATCAAAACTTGCAAGTGAGTCTATTCCATTTTAACGATAAGATATATTTGCAGCCTTTACGACCAATATAAAAACATTACAAAAATAAGAACTTTATTTCTAAATTAAAAGCATACAGCAATGGAATGCAATTCTGTTTTGCAACATAACTGTTATATAGATTGAAAACACATTCAGAGGAACAAGACTCATAACTTAAAAAACACATGATCTGGCCACATAGGATATTTCATGGGCACCAAGGCTCAACGAATTCCAGTGTTCAGTCATATTTATATTCTACTTCTGAACCAAAACTAGGCAGTTCATCCAGCACGCACATGCTTTAAAATGAAAAGGAAGAAAACGCAAGCCAAAAAAATTCAACAAAGATTAGAATACACCACAAATGGGTTGTTAGTTGAATTTGAAAACAAAAATAGACACAAAATACAGATGCTGTGCATGCTTTAATAAACTGTCTAGTCGCTATCACACCTGCATTAGGTGAAGTGTACTCTGGCCACCAACCTCCCATATTTTCTCCTTCAGCTGAATCAGTGCTATCCAAGGTGACATTCAATTCTTGAAAGCATTGTTTTCTATCAAAGTTGTATTCTTCCTATGCACAAAACACGAGAATGAAGTTTAATTTAAGGAAGGAAGCAAGGGTAAAATACATATTCTGTTATTAAAAGCAAGGTTTTAACTAGAAGTCCTAAAACTCAGGAAGCGACTCAGGTGCCTAAATGTAAGTATACGGGATCACTGTGGATACTAGAGTAATCTGCCCAGATTCCAGCTACCATTTCCAGAAAAGCCAGGTCTCCCACAGGTTTTGTATAGTAACTGCCAGGCCTTTGAAGACACCCTCAGGCATCTGAAAGGTCAATGGATAACTATGTTTGGATACCTTAAATTGGTCCCCTGATTTCTACAGTTAACAGGGTTCTCTGAATCTCAGGGTAAAGTATCGGAGTTAACTAAACATAAAATTCTTCTTCCAACGATACATTAATGTAACAGTGACATCCTAATTCTTCTTACAAAAGATTATCATTTTTTCGTGCAAGCTGCAGCACCAAATACCAAGAAGTACACCTGAATGAACTGACGTTACTTACTAACTATTCAGTAAAGCTTCATCAACAAAGAGGTCTGTAAAGATTGTACCTAAATCAAAATGGCCTTAACATATTAAGTATGCACATAGCTTCAAGCATGTGAATTATTTCAGAGGGAAGCTCATTATTTTTTGGTGTAAAATTAAGTACATTCATTACTCAAGGAATAGAGAGGTGTGATGCCATTGGAATTTTTCATCCTCTGGCTACATGCACGATCATTAAATTTACTCAAGTTTTCAGTTACGTAATTAATTTAAGTTCTTAAGCCCTTTATGTTTTTAAGTGTGATGCATCATATAAATAATAGTACTCTCCATATTTTTATTAACATACAGGTAAAAATAAACTTTTATCTCTTTTAACCCACCTGAAGCTTTCTGCTGGTCTGATTGCTTTTTCTTCTTGCCTGCTGCAGCCTGCCCACTCCTTGACCTGTGGTCAGTTCCTCCTCCAGCTCCTGTTGCCCTGAGACTATGGCTGGATCAGAGCAGCCAGGAAAGAACCAGTCATCCTCAATCAGTTTTGTGCCACAGGAAAGCAATCACATTTATATCAGACACTACTACATGAAAAGGCACCAGGGACAGGCTGAAGTCCCTATGAGTGACTGACAGAACAAGCAATCCATTGCATTCACCTTGTGATTTTCCTCCAACATTACTATGTAGAAGATAAGAATCAAGTCTGCATATCTCACTAAGAAGCAGCAAACTGAAGTCTAACTTTACTTCTTCATCAGTTCTAAATGAAGACTTTATACAGGAAACTGGAAAGGGTGAGGTTATGCTGATACTAAAAAAAAAGTCAACCAATTCAAATGCCAAATAACATCTCACTTCAATTTACCAGGTTAAAATATACCTAATTTGTATGATAAAGGCACCAGCTGAAACAGCTGTGGTTTTTATAATGTGAACAATCACATTCATTTTTATGGAAATGACATGTGTTCCTTTCAACTTTAATTTTAGTATGAGCTACAAAGCCAGATAATTTGAGGAAGTCACAAGCATGGGTTACACTGCAAACTGGCATCAAACCATCTTATCATAAATTAATAATACCATTCTTTTTAAGACAAATACAGAATCACTTGTAAATAAACACACTCAATAAATTCAGAATATGAAAGCTTAGGTATGCATCCTGTTCATTGTTAGAAATGATATTTCACTTAAAGTACATTCCCATCTGTTTTGTGATATGACAAAACATGTTTGGGGTAACAGATTAGGAAATAGATGTTTCATGCAAAGCAGACAAAACAGAACAGCCAGTGAAAAGAAATGGAAGTAAAGGTGGCTCCATACTTTAATTGAAAGTTAGATTTATTAGGTAATTACAAATTTAGCTTTCAATTTAACCACATCAATCCACAGTTGTCCCCACAGCATGCAAAATTTAGAGAACTTATGTCGATGCATCTGTGAGGTAAACACCAGAAACTATTAGGAGATGCAGCCCTACCGAAATAATCAGCTTTCATCTGAGTTGTCCAAGGATTACTTATACCACAAATTTCATTAACACACAACTCTAACACCTATTAGATTTAAGTTCTCTCTGTAATATTTCAAAATTACAGACTTAACATGTTGTCAGAAAATATTAGAGGAAAAAAGCGCCCCCCCTCCCCCAGTAATGACCTTTTTAAAGTAGGACTGCTAAATTGGATTTTACTTCTGGTTTTAATTACACTTTGGCTTCTGGCATTGTCACTTTATCAGCATTCGTTTCACACACCTTTGTTTATTATCAAGTATAGATTCTACAATTTCTTTTTTTTATCATTATACATACTTTTTCAAAGCCATAAAAATAAATGCCAGATTTCGATCACATGCCTTAAACCTCTGTTTACAAGAACTGTCATTGAAGTCAGTGAAGTGACTCAAGGAGCAAGCATTACTCCAGTTAAGAACTTAAACCCTTCTTTGGAGGGGGGAAGGGAAAAAAAAATTCAATTTCTTGGAAGTTGAAATTGAGGTAATGATGTAATATGACTGTTTTTAAGTATAATTAGAATGAATAACACACTGTCCTTTAGGAACCCAAAATATTTAGGCTCCTAAGTGTTTGATAATGAAAAAAAGAATGAAATTACCACTGTCACATGAAAAATGAAAGAAATCTGAGCTTTAGAATGATTTAGAACACTTAGGCAAGTGTTAAAACTCTTTCTGTTAAATTCAACACTGCTTTAACAACAATTAGTAAGTAAACACATTTTCTAATGTTTTACAGCAGCTTAGGGAGCTTTTCATTTGCAATTAGCTCTAACGTAAAACCTGAAACACTTCCCAGAACACCATTCTTCAGATACACACTGCATTTAAATTAACTAATGATGTGTCTGTATTTCCTTGTGTCACCATTCACACTAAATATCACAATCTTTAGTGGTCTGCAGAGGCAACAAGCCCCAGTCTGTAAAAGTAATCAATCCTGTCACCCTCTACGCCTTTGCAGCTCCCCACACATTCAATCCAACAGAGACAACCAACATATACAGCAAATTGCCACAGACTATGATGGAATGAGTAGTGGATTTATATATATAGCTCAAAATATTGGTAGTTAATATTAATGCAGGCAAAGTTCTGCAATTTATGGGATGGAATATAATCTAAAAAAAAAAAACCTAGTACTGAATTTCAAATACTACTAAGAATATTTAAGTGAATTTGATTCTTACTTAGTTACAACCACTTGTAGCAAGCCAAGAAATTTTTCTCTAGATAAGGTTACAACATAAATATGGAGTCAGCTGTTACTACAAAGAAAAATGAAGAAAGATGATTTGGTTAATACAAATGAAGAAACAAGTATTGCAAGGCAGAAAAAAAAACAAGTTAAAACCAGCATTTGTTACATGTATTGCTAAAAACCACATACCATCAATGGCAAATCTTATAAGGTACTGTTGGCAATTTCCTCAAGAGAAGCAACAACAGAAAAAATTAGCAACAGTACATTACAAGTTGCCATCGCTGCAGGAACCTGCATGCACAAAACTGATGGGAAACTATGTTCTCGCTGGCTGACCAAATCGCAGTGTAGGGTAGGAGTGGAGGGGGAAGGGACGCTGAGCGCTCATCAGGTGTAACGGCAGGAAAAAAGAAACAGAAAGGTCATGCTTATCCCAAAGGGAAAAAATGCAAAATTAAACACGGACTGACGCAGATGAAATTTTACAACTGTTATTAATATTGCATGTGGATCTGTAGTTACCACAGATGAGATAACAAGTAGTTTTAATGAAGGGATCATTATTCTCTTTCAATTCCAAAGCACTACATGCGTAAATCCCTCAAAAAGAAGAGACATGATCCTTGAAACATTTCTACGCTTACATACCAAACTTCCAAATTGATAGTGTAAATGAAAAATAATTCAATCGTAGATTAAAAAGAGAAGGCTCAAATTAACTAACTAGATTAATTATGATGGCAGGTTGTGCACATTAAAATTTGCCATTAATCTCCACACAGCTAACTAACAGGATAAAAATTACAATACAGTACTAGATGGCATGGAAGAAAGCAGTAAAAACTATCTGAAATTTAACTAGACTTTTAAAAGTTATAAGAGAAGCTGCCTCACTTTGTCATTACCTGTTTTATTAATAATGTAGAAAACTATAAAAAATGAGATCACTCAAATTGTTATTTTCTGTAAGTAATTTAATGTTTTTAACTAGCTCCAAACCATTGCCAATTAATGTTATTCAGCTGACCTACACAAGTGACACTTACTAACAGATTACCAGATATTCTAAGAAAGGTTTCTCATTAATTATATTTAAAGAGAAACTCCATCTCAGGTACATTTTACTAAGGCACCACCTTCATTCATCAAATTCAAGCCACTGCTATAGTTCACCACACCTTCACTGGTTGTTCTAGGCAGGCAGCTTTAGCATTTCCATGGTGAACTTTTTATCATTGATCATTCATATGCAGACAATAAGCTTTCGAAGTGAGTTCAAGCAGTCTACAGAGCCACAACTCAGATGGCAAACAGAACAAGCACATCTACTCATAAAAATGATACAAAAGATGAATGTATGAAAAACAGATTCAAGGAAACTGGAAAAAAGTAGAAATTGCAAATTTAAGCAATTTCACTAATTACACAAACCTTATGACTACAGAAATGAGTCATGGTGGTGTGCTACCAATTCAGTCTGAAGTACAACAGACACACACAAATATGCATATAAAAAAATATTATAATTGTATAGTAAATAAAACAATTCACCTTCTCTTTCCTCCTCGATCTGAGCCATTCTCAAGGCCATAGCAGATTTCTCTTCTCTGATTTGATCACGGGACTCCTCTGACTCTGGTACGTTTTCTTGCCATTCCAAGAGCTGACTCTGCAATTCATCCACACTACCTGATTCACTGGCCTAACAAGAGAAATTGCACATGAAAATATATTTACCAAATCTCACTACAAATGTAAATAACATTTTAAGTTGGCAAACCATTCACAGAGAAAACAAGCCATTATAATTCACCACTTTGCATAAATACAAACCTAAGGAAGTGATGATAATGGCTATTGCAGATTATGTAAAAAGCAAGCTTCCCCACTTCGTAAAATATAAAAAAAGTTACTGTCAGTTGCACTTTTTTTCTGCTATATTTTTAAATAAAAATGTTTTTTTTAATCAAAATATTGTTGCACATTTTCATCTTAGCAATGTTTCAAAGTAAATCAATATTCAACTGTCTTTATGTGGGATAACACATCTCTATTAACTTTTTTCTGTGAACAGAATAAAAATGTTTCTGCTTTTCCTTCAAAATAAAAATCATTTTAAGATTTTACCAGGAAAAAACAACTTATCCAGGAAATTTGGAAAAAATTATTCTTTTTTAGCAAAATATAATTAACAGTTTCAAACTGGCTCTGCTGCTAGGGCTGTACAAAGTTACCATGATTAATGTATACTATTCATCCATCTAAAGCCCTTTAGCAATATTTTCTAAGTCTTCTCATTTTCTTATCCAGACCTGCACACTTTTCAAGGTTACAGCTATTATTTCCTTCTGAAAGCTGTTTTTATTGTATACAAAATAACAGCCATACTTTGATGACTCATGTTAAATCTAACTAAATAAACAGTAAATTGCTTGGAAAAATATAATTTCAGGTACGTGGCGAAGTAATTCGAAATCAAATCTTTTTAAGTAACTCAAAACCTGTCAGCTTGTTATCCAACTGAATAGCTACTGACACTGACAACTCCATGTAACAGCAAATTAATTTTCAGCTCCAAAATCCAGCTAACACACTTTTCAAAGTCTAATTAGCACTGTTTGAGTTAATCAGTAACTCCTACAAAACAATTTTAAAGTCAACCTGTGAAGCTGCCCTCTTTGTAACTTGGTCAAGATCAGCTTGCAACTTCCTTTGCTGCTCTTCATAGACTTCCAGCTTAGTCAGCAATTCTTCTACAAAAACATAATAAATTTGGTTCATTAGGACACAAAACTAATAGGAAGATCAATAAAAATTTAAAAGAAAGATTAAAAATGAAAATTCAGATGATAATTCATTTCAGTTAGAAGACCTCTGCTGGGCTGTGTTATCCATCTGCCAATGAAACTGACTTCTGGACTATTAAATATCGATGAGCGCTTTAAAGTTAACCTGTTAACAATTTGAACAGGTGAACTGAAAATTCTACCTTTTGTCCATTTACAGAAAGGATGTCAGAGAAAATAACACACGGTGAAATAGAAAAATCTCTCACACAGCTCTGCTTTAAACTTTCTGAGATTTTAAGCAAAAATTCTCTCTCAAACCCTTACAAAAGAAAAGATAATTCTGAATTTACATGCAACTCACTGCTCTCAAAAGTTTATTGTACATACTCTGACAAATTTTCCAAGTATGTTTGGTCTCACTTTTCCTCCTAAGAAGATGCCTCTTCCACTTTCTGGAAAAAAAGTTTACGCCTGTTCTGCGTAAGCCTAAATACAACAAGAATTATGCACAGGTAGATTTAGGGAAGGAAAAGCTGAGCTGTAACTCTGACTTAAATACTGTATGCTATTGTTCAAAGTTGCACGAAGTTACCTCAGAATCTGTTTTAAAAAAAAGATACACCCTGAAAATGAAAGAGGAAGTTCATTCATCTGTCTCTTTACTTTAATCATCTGCAAAAGAAAAAGATTTTTTTTTACCGTTTTGAGTTCTGATTTCATATAATGATTGCAGTTTTGACTGTAGTTCTTCATTTTCAATTTCTAATTCTGAGACACGACTGTTTAAGGCAGACACATCGATATTCTTTAATGAGAAGTAAAAGAAAAAAAAAAGTAGTTATGAGTTTTTCAAATGCACCAAAACACCAAAAACTCAGCAAAGTCAATGCAACTTTTTTTCCCCTGTTTTTTTAGTAATATTTAGAATAGCTGTTTTTCTAGTATTTGAAAGTGCAATAAACTAGCTAATCTTTAAGAAATTTACTGTCGAATGCTGGTAACACCAGCCTGTACTATTTTTTGTTGAAACTTCATCCTGGATCAACATTTTACGATCATTCAATTTTTATACATAAATTCATATATGAAGATACTTTGAGTAAATTTTTTTAATATTGTATTTACCCTGTATTTTATATTTTTCAGTCAATCTCCAAGCAGAGTAGTTTAAAACAGGCATGGAATATTAAGCATAATGTTACACATACATTTTTCAGTTCATCCTCCAGTTGTTTGATTCTTGATTTAGACCAAGCCTTCATTTTCAAAAACTTTGCTTCAGATTTGCTGGCCTCTTCTGTTTTCAATTTCACTTGTTCTAAGAGACAGAATGCAAAAAAACTATTTAAAACTCTGAAAATATTATTAATACAAGACCTATGTTTAGTTCCTTTAGCAATTGGAAGTTATAAACTTATAGAAGACAACTGCATTTACAGAAAAACAACAAGAACAATAAGAAATGTAGTGAGAAATTCATAGTTCATGTGATTATCTTCGCATTCCTATAACCCTCATTATTATAGTATTTGATCATAGATACTTTTTAATTAGTGTGGTAATAACTCTTCCACCATATTTAATGTAGTTCTACTTGCAAGAGGTATGAAATTGGCATCCAATACATAACAGTCTGGGGTAAAGAAAACCTTCATATGTAACAACGGTTTAAATAGGATACCTTCTAAATCCTCCATCTTCTCTTTGGTTAGAGACTCCAGATCTCTTTCTTTTGAGTTAGTTTGTCCACCACCACTTAATTCTGCCACTTGTTTCTTAAGCTGAAACAGGGCCTGATCTTTCTCTTGCAGCTCAGTTTCATGTTTCTCTTGAATTTCATGCAGTTCAGCATTATATTTCTCCTTAACTTTTGTTATTTCAAGCTCATGTTTCTCCATCATGTCTCTTAACTGAGCTCTCATTACATGTTTCTCAGCATCCAGTTTAGACTGGAGGTTTTCTTTTTCAGACAGAAGACGTTTCATGTTTTCATTAATCTCCTGTAAAAAAAAAAACCTTTATATTTTAACGCAAAATATTTTTAGTACCATCAGCAAATATTATATCTGTATTCCTACATACATTATAATCAGAAAACAGGGTTACTGTTGGTAATCTGGCTGTACTACAAAAGCTACTCAGCTCTCTGCCGTTCCAAGACAGAAGTGGGGACTTCAGCAGAATGGCATGACTATTTGAGTGAGCGCAAACTACATGCAACCTCTCCCATAGGTGAAAACTGAATAAAAAAGAATGTTTGGTTCTATGGAATATAAAAAAACCCCACAAACACCAAAACAAAACAGAAGCACATCTCTTTAACAGTGATCCCAAAGATCATGAGTGCTCACTACAATGCCACCCAGGTGTTATCACCTACATCCATTAAAATTAAAAGTTTGCAAACTGATCTAGTTTTTATTTACAGTATTTTGTTGCTAACTGGTTTTCTGTTAGTGCTTATTCTACTTTTAGTGCCTTTACGTTAGGTATTTTAATACATAAAGATGTAGAAAAGATTACAGATCACTATAGCGGAGCAGTCCACTCACATTAGACCTGCTGTGCAAAAAACTACTTTCATGATACATAAACCTAAGAATATAAACTGTCCAAGTAAAGAAGCTGTGCAGGACAGCAGAGGGAACATTTCCAAACTATGGTTAAAACTGCTTATGTAAATAAAGCAAGGCTTCCTGCTATTTTAAACTGTAATGAAACTTCAGCTTTAAGTGCTTTAAGTTCCTGTTGTCACAGTCAAACAGTCAAACCTTCCCTCTACCCTCTTCTGTCCCCTCAATCCACCAGCACTAGGTACCATCAGTTCTTGCAGAGCATTGCTGTAGGCAGATGCATCTAACTTAAAAGGAAAAAAACAACAAAACTCTGCATAAGGCTGAAGGCACAACAAATGGGAAGGACAAATGAAACAGGCTTAAACTACAATGGATCTTAACTACTTGAGCAGGACATCTAGCTGGCTACACAGTTGAAACTATTTCTAGTAAGATTTTGATTCTGGCGGCCCTCTTGGTAAGCTGAAAATTTGTTGGAAATAGTATAGCTAAAATGCTGGACCTGGCACCCCAACCAGGCTATAATGTGTCCATTTCAGCAAAGAGTCCCAAAAGTCTATCTGAGAGACTGTACCGTCCTTTTCCTACACTGTTGAACTAAAGCAGCAGCACTCACAGGCTATAATCACAGTTCACGCTAGGTGCTTAAACACAAAGAACCTTGACTAGGTATTGCTTTTGCAACCAGTTGAAATACAGCAAAAGGAAAGGCACACAATTAGCAAAATGCTCCTTGATGGGGAAAAAAAAAAAGCTCCTCAGTTTTGGGGCTCACTGCAGTCTCTAACTAGAGAAACTGAAATCTTTTGACAGCAAAAAGTGTTCCCTACGTAACAAGTTCCCAAAATGAATCAAGACAAACTATGTGTGAGAGTTGACAGTTTTGTATTTTATGGACTTTACTTCTCTTTTAAGTTATTTCCTAACTGGAATTAGTATTTGTTTGTACAACTACGGTTGCATTAACACACGTCAAAGCTTCCCAGAGAACTGCTCAAGTATTTTATGCAAAACTATCTTTTGTGCACAACCAAATAGCCTTCTGAACTTGTAATTGATCTGATGAGTTTAGCTGTGCACATATGCTATTTCTTACTTTCAATTGCTGGTCCTTGACATCCAGTTCTTTTTGCAAGACATCTATCACCTGTGTCCTTCCCAGCATGACTTCTTCCTTTTCATGGAGCTTCTGTTTCAAGGCCTTTAGTAGCTACCAAAAAAAAAAAAAAAACAAACAAAAGCAAAAAACATCAAGCAATCAATAAAGGAATTAACACTTTCAGAAGAGAAAGAAAAAGACTTACCTTTATTTTCCCAGTCAGACATCTGAACTGCACTGCAGATGTTAGTAATTACGCGATCCCAAATTCCCATGTCTAACTAAGTCAAAGCAAACTACTGAGTTTCCAAAGCAACATACCTGTTCTAGGTCAGCACTTGCATCAGATTTAGCAGCTAATATGAAGAGCTCCTGCTCATGCTTTTCTCTTTGTGCTTCCAGTTCCTTTTCCTTTTCCTGGATAATATTTTGAAGCACACACACCTAAAAACATATAGAAAGTAAATATGAAATCAGTCCACAAAGGTATAGCAAAAGTATACTGAATTGTCTAACTAAAGGTACAGCAAGATAATGTATTCTATTTTAAGTCTGAATTTTGCTTCCAGTAAATATACTAATCAGTCAGTGATTACTAACATCGGTGGTGCATGTGGATAAACCCCCAACTTACAGAAAATCTGTCTCAATTCCACAATAACAAACTCTAAATGAGAAGCATAGTACTGTTCATTTTTGTTTACTAACACAGATCTTCACCTTTCTCTTTTGGATGCCATTGTTCTGAAACTTCTAATTTCTAAAAGATTACACTGATCGTGTTCATTCCTATAAAGTTTCTACCAATTAAGCCCACATTGAACCTTTGAAAACTAGCGCTCTCCTCCTCAAAGACTTGTATTCTACTTCCAACATTTATTAGCTACCTTACAATTTTTATAAGAACTGGCTATAACTTTTGGAATCTCGCTAATGATATTTTGAATGAATTCACATAAAGTCCTACCCAGATTTATATCCGAGTGACAACACTGTGCTTACCGAAATGGCTTTTACAGTCCCAATTGTTTGTCTCTTTCTTTCTTTCCTGTATCAAAACTAATTCCCTGTATGCTGCTGAACAGATGTGGTCATGTTGAGGATCAAAAGTAACATTTGTGTTACAGATAAAATAAACTCAGACACCAAATGACGTGGGGAATACTGAGATGAATAGTTTCACATGTGGCAGAACTCAAATGCTGAGGGATCAGGCACATCCCATTAAAATCTCCGATTTAGCTTCCAAGGGAGTTTGAAGAGCCTGGTAACATCAAGGAATGCATAACATGCTCCCTAGTTCCACCTGGGGTTTGGTTTTTTTTAAGTACTATTTAACAAGTTGTTGTTGTTTGTCTTGGCCTCTTAATCAGCAGCAAGCTTTTCTAGAAAAGTTTCCCGTTAAGAATACAAAACTTCTGCTATTTTTCAGTCAAGAGGAAAACACAATTTTTTTTTCATGCTCTCATACTAAAGTGTGCCAGATAGATCACTTTCACTTGTGCTGTGAGCTGTCAAATAACCATTTGTGCCAAGAACAGTTGCAATAATCCAAAAACAGTACCAGCCATTGCATGTGTGCATTTTTGCACCTTGAGATGTAGTGCTACAAGAAAGAGATGTTTGGAGGTTCTTCAACTGAAATTCTGCACAAGTCATTTCACTCTGTTACGCACTAGTTCCTCCGTGCCTTGCACAAAACTTTCCACTTCAATTATCACCAGCACAAACCATCTACTGCTTCATTATTCTCATTTCATCTGAACACCATACAAATCTTTACTCAACAATCATCCAAAATTAAAAATAGCATTTCTTAACTATTGAGATAGAAACACTATGGCCAAGATACCACTTCTTCCACCAAAGAATGTAAATACTTTTACAGTGTATCTACTTACGTTTTCCACATATGTAGCTTCTTTTCCTTGGAAAAGCTCTCTTTCTTTGCTCTGAATATTTTTAAGACTCTCAATCTGTTCCTGGAACAAGCTGCATTTTTCTTCACTGTCTCCAACCTTCTTGGTAAGGTTCTGAACTAGAATCTGCATGCTTTGTAGTGACGACTCTTTAACAGCCAGCTGATTCTTTAGAATGCAAACCAAAAGACAATTAGAAGAATGGACCCAGAAAAAAGATATAGCAATCATCATGAAGCCTCCTCCTAGCCCTTCCCTCAGTTAAAGTAACATCAAACTCAAAATTCAGGTTTGGTTTTAATTGGAATGAAATTTGCCAGCAGATTCTGAAGTTGATACTAATATGTATAAATATTACTGACAAAAGTAGTAAATAAACACAGATCTACTAACACAAATGAAAATAATCAGGAAAGAATTTTTATTCACATGAATAACTGCAGAGGATTTGTGCTTCAGGCAAGGATCCACCATATAACGCACCAGAATTCGTTGATTCCTTGAAACCTCTATGGAGATTTTATATTTGAGCTGCTAATATACCTTCAATTCTTCATTGGGCAAGGGTATTTCATTGGCAACACCACTTGATCCACACGCTACTTGTAAATCGATGATATAAGCATCTCTTTCAGCTAACTTCTTTTCTTTCTCTGCCAGCATGGCATCCATTTCAGCCCCACGACAGCGCTGGGCCTCCAGTTCAACACTCTGAAAATGAGAAGACAGCATTGCTTGTAACCTATACTTCCACCATCGACAGCACAGAACAACAGTTCGCACTATTTCCTTATTGTCTGTATTAGGGTACTGAAAAAGTTACAGTGAAATTTATAACCTGCTTCAATTTTAAGTGCAATCTTTAATTACTGATCCTTTCTCTCTGGAATTCTGCGGCATTCACGTTCCCGCCACTTTCCACAGTGAACAGTCATATCCACAAAACACATCACTGCATAGAGCAACTAATATGAAATCAGCCCTTGCCTACAGTTCTTCCTGTTATGACTTATTTTTGCAACTGGAAAAATTGAAACAAAACATATGTTCAAATATACGTTCAAAATATAACATTTAAATATAACATTAACCCGCAAAGTTCATATTTGTGTATCCTATTCTATTCATTTTCAAATGACTAAAAAAAGCACGCTTGAGGATTCACTGCTCACTGAAAACACAATGACAGAATTCTCAGTGCGTTTGCTCGGGCAGGTTGTAGCGTATAAACTTCTCTGTCTACTCAACAGAAAACTCTCAGAATATTGGTTTCATTGTGCAACATATAATTAAATACGTAAATATATTTAAACAAATATATTTAAACAATAGCCTATACCACAAATGTGAAAAGCCACACACTTGGCATCATACAAAACATCACCTTTTTTTGTAACTCTTCATTTTTTTGTGTGATCTGGGATTCTAGTTCTTCAATTCTCCTTCTCAGTACTAATATTTTCCCACGATTTGCTGCAGCATTTTCCTGGTCGCCATCTTTTGATGCCTGCAAAAACAGGGAGTTCTGCATTCCATAAATAGGTAACACCTGACTTCTGTACCTCTACCTATTCAGATAATACTGGTGAGAAAAAGTGGACTCTACTCATGGTTTGTGTTTCAGTTCTCTTATGTATTACATATTCCACGTAGAAGCTAGACAAATCAGGCACAGAATTTGTATCACACTTGTAAAAATATTTTTAGATTTAAACCATTAATGATAATTATTGACGCAAAGCAGACTGGAACGTGCAATAAGGGCATTCATTTCCACTGGCAATTGTAACCCATATAATCTGGCAAGTGTAGGCCATATAACTCAGAGGGGAAAAAAGGACTATTGGAGGGAAAAAAACTGTTCCTAAGTACAATGTTTCCAGTCAGAATTTCAGTAGGTATAACTACAGGGTAACAGAAATAATTTGCCATTACAAAAGAAATCAAGTACTATTGCTAAGAACATATTTTATTAGCCAAAAAAAATAGATCAGAAGCATAAATAATTAGCTACTGCATGTCTTTGAGGACACCTAGGACACTTCAACAAACTGATATGTTTGTTCCCTTTCAGCACACCTTTAAAAAACAAATTCCCTAGAAACATTAAAGCCTCACTAAAGTTATTTTAAAAGCTGTATGAAGTCAGAATATGCTATTTTGAAGAACTGTAAGTCTGCTCACACAACTGAGTTACTACAGATCTGAGAATCTTTGTTAACAGTAAAACACTGGTCCCTTAAATGAGACATTCCAACACTTGATTCACATTTTGCTACCAAGGACATTTTTGTACTTCCATGTTTATCTTGGACATTAAAGTAACAAGTTAGGTTTTGTTTTTATTTCTTCTCAAAAACTTATCTTCCTGACTCACGTGCGTTAAAACTTTGAGCTGCTAATAAGATCAGTAAGAATTTTTTTATTAAAACAATTTGAAAGGAATGAACAATTTTTTAAATTTCTATAGAAAGAAAAAAGAAGAATAAAATAGAAATACACAGATGGACTGACAGCACCCATACAGTCTACCCTGATCCTAATTTAACTCAGCTCAAGATTTGAACTTCAGTTCCACATTTGAGTCCAGCACACAAAACTGTCCACAACCTTACAGAAATTACGTCTGCTTTAAAACGTAAGGACACTTGCCTTTTTTTGTTCTGCTTTTGCCTCTAAGCCTCCTGATACTGACAACTGTTTCTTAAGTTCTTCCACCTGTGAGGTTAAAGATGCAACCTTGGCTTTGTTTTGCAGCTTCAACTTGGAAAGTTTGGTGTCAGCAGATTCCTTCTCCTCCTACAAACATCAAAGTCATGAAGGACTAAATTAGCTACATGAATAACTGCATCCTTCAATTCTTCAGAGAGAGAGAGAGAGAGAGAGAGAGAGAAATCTCAAGTGATTATCAAAAAATCCTTCCCCTGAAGAGACATTATAACATCACATGCAACAGGTCTGCATATATGAAACATCCTTCCTTTTCATTATTTAAACTTTCTGCACAAGGTTATTATTATTATTATACAGAATCCATAGCATCATAATGTTAGAAATTTTTCTATTTTCTGATAGCTATACAAATTCAGGGCTTGATTTTTTTTAACCAAAAGAGTTAACTTTTTTTTGATGCAAAAAAGACACCTTCATAATACTATAAAAGCGTATTTCATTTTGTTTAAAGAGATGACTTAATTTACAATAAGTTTAAGAAAATTCAATATTTTAACACTTGGCTGTTCATGTCCACAGAAGACTTTTTTTTTTAAAGTGTAAAAGTAAGTCTCTTGCAGGAACAGACTGTTTAAAAAACAACAGAGTAAAGAATAACAAACTCACAAGTCTTCAGCATATTAGATATAAATTCTTTCTAGTTCCATCTTTCCTAACACCACGCAAAAACAGAGGATAATATATAGTAGCATTAATTATAGGACCATTATACAACAAAAAGACATATATAGTGGAAGGAGAAATAAAAAAATTATCTACAGAAATTCAGTTTGCGGTAAGCTGGCATCTCACTAAACGTCCAGTAATGATTTGGACAGTGTTTTTCCCCACATTTAGCCTAAAATGACACATACCTCTAGCTCCTGGAAAATCAGTTATTAAGCACATCCGCTGATGCAAGGAACACGTTGCCTGTGTAATGCCCAAACCCAGTTACAATTCTGGAACAGAAGACACACTGGCAAAAGCAGTAACGTCCAGGAATCATAACAGCTAATTGCGACCAATGTTTCCTGTGTTCCTAGAGTTGCTATAACCAACTATAAGCTTGTATCTATGAAAACAGCTCATGATAAACAGGACTGCAGGGGGTTTTCAACAGTCTTTTTGACAAGAATACACGCACGGTACCTTTAACTGAAGATCTTTATTTCGAAGCTCAGCATCCTTCTCTCTGACAAGCTCCTTTAGCTGCATTACCAGCTGTTCAGTACTTGTCAGCTGTTCAGCCAAATCTGCCGCCGACATGCTTCTCGCATCTTGTGAGCCTGCAGCCTGCTGACATTAAGTATACTTTGAACAAAATGGTGCAGACAATACCGCTTCTGCAAAAAGTCTTCAGTTGGTGTTTGTTTGGGGGCTTTTAAAACATTCAGCAGATCTTTAATATTAGAGTGCGATACTAAAACGTACATACAGTATATGTACCTATACCTGATCATTTTTAGCAAGTATGATAGACACATGAAATTATCTTCGAAACTCCTTTAGGAATATTAGTTTGAAACACAGCAAAATTATCAAAGCATCCTAGGTATCTAAAACTGAATTTCCTCATTTACTGGATTTGCATTGCAACAGCCAGTAGCCTTACCAAACCTAGTGACAATAAAATATTGATATTGAACATACTGTAAACAAAAAATACACTTGGGATAAAGCTTATGTAATTCCTACAGATGTTTTCCTAAAGCAAGATAAGCATAGCGAAGAGGAGTAGAGCAGCTGTGTCACGCACGAGAGATTAAATACCAAGTAGACAGGGAGCAAGAACCTAACCTGACTTTTACAGTCCTAAAACTGAGTCACGGTAAAACTAGTTAAGCAACTTACTTATGAAAACACAAATACATATGATTAGCATAACATCAGTTAAAGATTGTACAGGTCCGAAATTCTTAAGACAATATTATTTTAATAGTAATTCAATACTTACTACTGTTTTGGAAGAAGAATCATCTCCACTACCCCATTTCCACATAGTTTCACGATGGCTATGAAAACATAAATGAAATAATATCACAGTGAGTATCAGCGACTCGCAGATAACTGTAATTAACTCATACTTCTCTCTACATGTTTCACTGTAAAATGCTCGAAACTAACTTGTTTGGTCAATTCTGACAGCACCTCTGATCTCCACCACATTACTAGCTGTTGAGAAATAATGAAATTATGTATAAAATATGCATAACGCCTTTTCTAAAAACAGTGAGTCAGTAAAATGTCATTACTATCAAAAACAATCCAAAGAAGTCTTTAAAGAGTAAATGCCATAAAGTATTATTCAGCATAGTTGCTTCTCTCGCGTATAAACAGAAGATACAAACCACATACAGTTTGCTAACATTTAACCTGACCTTAAACACTGCCTGCCACTGCAATGGAACCAGGATTATACCAATGCATATTTCTATAAAATCATACATAAAGACTAAAAACATTAAAGAACATCAAACTCCTTTAACTGCTGTGCGACTGCTGCATATCTGAAAAACACAACGAGCATTGCTGATGCTGATCAGTATATAAAATACCTGCATCTGAAACCCCAGGAACAGCAAGTGTTCCTTGCTTCTTTTGCTCACAATCAAGTACCATAGATTTCTAAATGGCACCAAAGTACCACACATACGTATACACAGTTGCCGTTTCTGATCATGGAAAGCTGTAGCTTCCTAATAAACACAAGTATAGGCCATAAAGAGACTTTAAAAAGCAAAATCCTAAAGACTGAGTAGGTACAAGGCAGTTCAAAGGTTAAGACCTTTACCAAACAATGGTGACAAACTTGGTTGAGAAAAAAAATGGGCAAAGTCTATAAAATAGCCCATGCAGTAAATTCCAAACTGTGTCTTGGAGACATAACCTTAAGAGCAGACTAACATATCTTGCTTGGCTTCTGGATAATATTCTCAACAGCAGGATGAAGTGAAAAGAGAAGCTATACCTGTCCAGTAATTTTCACTCTCAACTAGCAACATCCAGAGGAAAATAATGTGTCCTTTCTAATCTGTATTACAGACTTTTGAAATATGCATACACAGATCAGTGCTGAACTTGGAAAGCAGTATATAATAAACATTAGCACATAGCTTATCTTAAGAAATATGCAGAACGATAGCAGAGGTTGCTTTTAAAGCTCTTTATCATTTCAAAGCTAAAATCAGGAATCACAGACTGCAATTTATGGCCTACATTACCTACAAGGCCAAACCGGATTCTAACATTAAAATCAATAAATGAGTGATGGGCTGGGGACAGGAATTACAGAACTTGTAAGTAAAAACCTCCTCTCATAACTACTCCAGAGCCGTAACATCAAATCTGTTCTCAGGGAAAAAACTCATTTCTAGACACTTAAAAGGGTTACCCAGGTATAAAGAGGACAAAATTACTCACTAGATGTAACATGGTGGTGCATTTGTATTTAATTTCTGAATATTTTAGCTCATTTCCAGCTCTGATGCAATCGCTTTTGCTCAGTTCACGTGCCAGCATTCCTACTTCAATACCTTAATCGCTACTTTCTGATCTATTTTTATTTACATCAGGGACACTAAGTATTGACAAGTTTTCCAAATCAAGCTGGCAAACAAAACTGAACAGGCTTTCCTTACCCAGCATGAAGTCAACCACTAATGTTTTTTGCTTTTCTTCAGGGGTAGAGTCAGCAAGTTATAGCACTGAGGCTGGTGAAGCTGCAATCTGAATGCTGGATCACTCAGCTCGATCCCCTCTCCTTGCGGTACATCTAAAACCAATTCAATTAAGTTTTCTATCACCATTTTCCTTCCTTTGGCAGCCTATGTCCTGGGCATAGCACTATCAAGCACCAAGCATCAGAGAAGCAGGGAGTCCAAATTATCTGTGGCTACCCTCTCTGAAGTTTTCAGTGACAGATAATTTGTCTTCCCCCTGTAAGTTCAAACAGCTCACCCTCACTTTCAAGGTTTTATATTGCTTCATCACTGCCAGTACCTCATCCTGCTCTTCACCTTGCATATTCTACTGTGCTAATAACCATTCTTTGCCGTCCACTACGCACTCATTTCCATTAATCTCTTCTTCACTGAAGAAGAACAGGGAGGACAGTCGAATCTTTCAGAAATTCCACAAAATACAACAGAGGCCCACTGAATTTTACGAAACAAGTTTCTTCTGATGCTCAAAATACAACTGAGGTTTTGGCTCTTATCGCAAGGGGACGTTACCAAAAAGAAAGGTCCCATTGGCAGCTTTGCCTTCACACTCACCCGTTCTGTTGTCCCAGCACTAGCTGCAGCCAAATCCAGCTAAAAAAACTAATCATGTATTATTCATTCGGGTAGTTTCCAGCCTACTTACTCCCCCGAGTCAGATACCGCAGGGCCCAGCACAAGGGGAACTCAGGAGCACACAACAGCAGACAGGACAGATTGCAGCAGCAGCTCATACTGTCGCGGTCACAGAAAACCCACAGCTTGACGGTGACCGAACTACGTGGTAAAATACTGAACTGTATTCTTACAAATACCTACGGGGATGGCTAATCAGGCAGAGAAACAGTCGACTGACTCCCACAGAACACCGTGTGTTTGTCTAACTTTCCGCACATCTATTCCAAAACCATTCTGATGTAAAAAATGGCTTCAAAGAGCACCCATGTGAGTTCTCACTGTGGAGCTAGTAAGGTAGGACCTTTCCCTCTTCTCTTGCAGAAATATAGACTATGGAAGAAAACACGGAGGCAGAACTCTGTTCCTCTTACTGCCAAGGAAGGTAATGGAAGACCCCTTTCTCCCCTCTTCCACAAGACTACAGCAGAAAACCAGACAGTAGCAGAAGTGTATAAAAACTCAGGTAAGTGTTTTATTATTTTAAATACTGTTCCTAGAACAATTTTGTACTTTAAACACGCCCACTGAAAGAAAAGCATTTTAATACAATTATTTTCTTCTTGTATCTGCAGATTTTTGCTTTTATCCTTGTTTGACGGCTTGTCAAGACCTTGGTTCTTCTGCTGAATACGCTAAACTTGTTTTCAAATGGTCTGTCCCATCTATGACTTAAAAGCTCTTGGGACAAAACCTGCACAAGCATACGACATACAGCAAAGAAGTACAAACACGGAAGCTGTGTTAATCAAACCACAAGCACTCTGGAAAGTTAATATAATAACACATTTATATAGCAATTACTCATGTCTATTATAAACGCTATTTCGTAATAATACTGACCGCATGTTCCTCTTAAAACCAATATACATGGGAAGTACTATTTTGTAACAGTGCACCACTGGAGAAACAAAAGAGCAGCACAGAGCCCTCGGTGAAGCGCAGGGGCATGTGCAGTGCCGAAAATGAGCTGTTTTCATCACGGCAGCCAGGTGTAGTGACTCCGGC